AAAAAAAAAAAAAAAAAAAAAAAAGCCCTTCCGGAAAGTGTCTGGCGCGAGGTGCATGCTGCCTGGCCGGCTCACCATTGGACCTGGCTTTGCGCTCCCACCCTGGACAAACCTAGGTACCCCGTAAAAACTCATGTATTACGTGCGTGACGCCTGCGCATGCATCTCCATACTCGCTCCATGTTTGCCCAATTGCGGCCTGAGGAATACTTTGGCGCCGTAGGCAGGCTAGGTAAAGAGTCGATAAAATCGATACCATGCTCTTCAGATGCATGGATGCATACACTATGTGGTAAGACAGCTCCTCGATCAGGCATCTGGGTACAAATGCTTCGCGCTGCTGCAGCCCGTTGCTGCCAGAGAAACTCCCGTCGGTCCTGTCTTGAGAAAAGCTTGGAACCCCCAGGCAGGCCCAGGTGCCCAGGCACACAGTCTCCGAGGCTCTGACAACCTCAACCAGGGCGGCGCTAAAGCTGCATGCAATATGCAACACGTCAACGGCCAGCCCACGGGAACCATCCATCGTCTCGGGTTTTTCTGCCGGCGGCCGGTAAACACCACTAGTGACAGTGACAGTGAAGCAGCAAGTTTGGCCAAAGCAAAAGCAGATGGTATTCGGGTGGATCTTTGCCCCCTCATAGTGGTATATTCTCAGAAACAGACAAGAGAAAATATTCATGCCCTGTCCAGTCGCGCAGATTCCATGCCAGACACAAGTGACGCCGTGACCTCCAACCAAATCAAATGAAACAAACGAACCCCCACCTCACAACATGGACCTGAAATCGTCTTTTGTGAGTTGAGGCTTCACTGCCAGATCCCTAAAGTAACATGCCATCCGTAGCATGAAAAAAATGATAGAAGGGCCGGTTTATGAGTGCGTGTGGGTATAAGGAATTCCAAGTCGGGAAAAGGCAAACATGCTCCAGCCGCGGCCGACTCATCGTCATGACGAGCCCGGCTCCTCTTTCGACTGATTGGGGTGCAACCCGTTGCTCTGCGCCAGCTGCTTCCACACGTCCAGTTCCCGGTAGAGTCTCTCGCATTCGGCTTTGAGCTTGTCGTTGGACGAGCTGAGCTCCTGAATGGCCTGCTCCGTCAGGAGTTTCTCGAGCGTCCACTTTTCAATGTTCTGGGCTTCGTTCTGCTTGAGCTGGGTGATAAATGAGACGGCCCGCTGCAGAATAGAGCCCTTGTTCTTCTCCGAACCGGGCACGATCTTGGCCAGCTCATTGATGCCTTCATTGATAGTTTCCCTTCGCCTCCGCTCGACTAAAGGTCAAATGTCAGCGTTTGTCTCGTCTCCAGTGCCGAGAATGTACTCACCCTCCTTGTGGTTGTCTTTTCGTTGCTTGTGCCACTCCTCCGAGCCAACAGCGGGCTTTGGGACATTCGGGCTTGCATTTTGGCCGTCATAAGGTGGCTGGGAGGATCTAATACCGTTCTGCGACGGCGGCTGGGGTCCTTGCCCAGCGCCCGAGCCCGCCGCATCGGGCAGTCCATCTGCTGACATCATGTCGTTGGCGCCAAACGACTGGTGTTCCTCACTGGCGACCTGGGCGGCAAAGGTCTCCTCCGTCGTCGGTGGCACGTGAAGAGTGGGATACATGGAACCCAGGGCGGCTGCCGCTGTACTTGAGGCATGCGCGGGATCAACAGGGTCATGATGATCTGCTGCAGCCTGTTGCAGGGCGGTGAAATCTGCAGCATTCACATTGGCAGCGGCAGCGGCTTGAGCGGCCTCGACGGCGCTCTCAACGTACGCCGCAGAGTCGGCATCGGGATGGCCAGACATGGTTGCCGCAGGGGCGCCCCGTTTGGCACGCCGTGGCTCTGCGGGTGAGGATTCAGGAGCCCCCCGTTTCCGTTTCTGAGTAGGACTCAGGGGCGGCGGAGCGCTGTAATCGCTCTGCTCTTGTGTGACTGCCTCGGCCATGGCTGTCAGGTAGGCGCGATCAGGAGGAGCGTTGAGCTGCTCGAGGGCGGCCTCGGTCTGAGAGTAACCGGCAGCCTCCATCATGGCTTAGCATGCGAGGGTCTCAGTCTAGTGACGACACCTACAGCAGGCCCTGTACGGCACAAAATTGCCGGGACTCTACCGTGCTGCAAGAAGTGCTGGAACTGTCAGTGTACTGATACACGGAAATCGGGTCCTGTTCATCGCTGCTGCGCCCAGAGAAAATCGGGATCAAAATGCATGAGAGAGCTGACTTGCGAGAGTCGCTAGTTTCGCAAGGCAGTGAGTGTAGCACAGGTCTGTTGGGCGGTATCAAAGCGTGGGATGTCAGACGTTCTCAAGCCTGCCGGGGGTGCGGCGCGGAGACCTTGGCCGGCGCAGGGCGCCAATTGGCCCAGGTTTGGGAAACGAGTGAAGTCTGTTCAGCAGCAGGATCAAGCAGCAAGTCCAGGCGGGGCCGTCGTAGCAATGCCATCAACGGCCCAGGTGCTGTTGTGATGAATCCGTACCGCTCATGATGGTAGCCTGCAGCATGCTGGACTTGGACAGGGGCATTGTGACGACGTGCAGCTTGCATCTGAGATGCCTGGGGCGATGCTGCGACGCTGCGACGCCGACGATGCGTGAATGGGACTTGGAAGGCAAAATCGTGACGGGTGCATCGTGCAGTGCTGGCAGATTGCAAGCGACGGAAGGTCGACGAGGGCAATCAACAGGGCCGAGAAAGAAAACCGACGAGAACAATCATCGTAGAACTTACATCCGTGACTTGCGCCAAAGCCAACGCCCCCAGGGAACCGCGCGCGCTCTCTCTGGGTCCGTGGTCCGCAAAACGTGACCTGAGACCACGTGAACGATCAGGAGCTCGCAGGTCGCGATATAGTAAATCCACCAGGCTCGGCGCCAGGAAGCGGCTTTTCAAAACGCCCAAAAACGGCGGATCAGGATGACGATGGATTCGAGGCTCTGCTCGTTTGGGTCTTTATGAATTCCGCTGTATACGGGGGGTCTGACGGGGTCGTCCCAGGGGATGGGCAAGATGAGAGTTGGACGGGAAGATGCGAGGTCACGGGGTGCGTGCCAGATGACTTGATGGGGGAGCACAGACCAGACCAGACAGAAGGAGAGAGGTGGTGGGTGTGATGAGTCTCAGTGCAGGTGGGATGGGCTCTTGGAGCCTTGGGTGGCTGGATGGCTGGCTGGCTGGCTGGCTGGATGGCTGGCTCGCTGGCGGGCCCGCGGGAAGGGGGGTCCGCCCTCCTTTTCTGCGCCACCGGTCTTCCTGCCTCGCCGCATTCCCTCTCCCGAGGCCCTTTCCCACTCGGCACGAAAAGAGGACGAGGCTCTGCGGGATCCGGATTATGGCTTTTGCGACCCCTTGCTGCAGCCTGGCGCAATCACTTGACTGCCATCGAGCTGCAGCACCATAGCATAGACCAGAAGCCATTCCCCGCTAAGCATGAGCACGATACATATTCGCAGTTAAGCTATCCACGTTGGACCTGATGATGTACCCAGGTCGTGATACAACCTAGTATGCAATTCACCAAGTTAGAAAGACGAACACAAGCTTGTTTTACTCGATACAGCCACGGTACGAGAAATTAATCTCTCACTATAACGCGGCTCGGTTCTTGACTTATCTCCGTGCTATGGCCGAAATTCTTTCTTTGATTGGAGCCCGCTGGCTAACTGGAAAAACTGTACGCCAAGCCGGCCAATCACATACATGATATGTAGCCCAATTCCCCGCCGAATCCTCAAGCAAACCCTTGATAACTCAGTTGGCAGAGTGTCGGACTGTAAATGTTACAAGCTATCCGCAAGTCGCCGGTTCAAATCCGGCTCGAGGGACGTAATTTTTATGCCTACTTTAGATGTTAATCTCTTCTTCCCAAACATTTACTTTTTGCGCTTCATTCGCACATGGTTTTGATGTCCGAATAACCAGGTGACCTTGCTTGATGAAATAGCGCGCTGTCACGAAAGACTTTCCCAGCATTCATCGGTAACCACCAGACGACGTCCAGATCTTTCCGTCTGTCTCTCAGACTGCCACCCTCTTCACTGATGAAGCGGCCAAGTCCCTGTCTCCAGCAGAATTTGCACAGCTATTGGTCTTTCTCCGACAACCCCGAGGCTCCCGTGACGAACCGAAAGAGTATTTGCAGAAGACGCTTTCGCAGAGGATAAACGCATTCTGCGATGGCGAGATCAAGATATCCGGAGAGCCCAGAGACAGGCTTTCTGGTCCTGGGGGGCCCGAGGACGCCTATTTGGGGTTAGTCTTGCACCTCCGGACAGAGGAGGGTGTACTCGGCGACTTTTGGAACCCTCAGTCTGTGACAATCGATCTCTTAGCACAGAAAGGCATCAACCAAGAAAATGCATTCGGCTTTGACTGGCATTGGCGTGCTGAAGAGCCACTGGCGATAACGATCAGAACGGTTTTCTTGAGTCCGTTCTCGATGTCGGTATTCCCGAACCAGCCGATGACCGACCAACAGAAGATGCAGATCATACTCTACCTCTACGCGGAGAGGTTGAGAGTGTTTCGACTGAAAGCCAGGATACGTTCCATGGAAAAGAAGTCTCTGTTTCCCCATCTGGGTATATAAAGCTACCCGCCCCGGCCGAACACTGGGGGTTGAAATTGCGCCTTTCGCCCAAGGATTCTGATCGAGTCTTGAAACTCGGCGGTAAAGCGATCCTTATGTTTTCTAGAATGGAAATCCGACTTCAAGTCCATGATAAAATCGTGTACACGAGACCTATAGAACGTCTTCTATCATCCAATACCGCCGGCGCCCTATGACTTCTTCAGATCAACCACGAGCTGCGGCTTATTGAAGAGTCGCAAGGCCGAGCGCTATCGGCAACCCAACAAGTCATGCAACCGGTCCGTCCCATGTTTCACAGGAGCCAATTCAAAAATGGGGAACTGTACAGAAAGCTATATGAAGGGAGTTTATTCCCATGCAACGAAGTCAAGGGTCACATTCCGTGGTCTGCAGCTAATAGTACCCCCCGAAAGCTGATTCCAAGTCTGTGTTCATCAAATGCGAGCTTGCTAGCCCCGGTTCCCAACATGCCAATAAATGTGGAACTAAGCTGCTTGACGAAGATTCTGCACAGTGCCTTGCTATTGAAATGAGATACACCTCTACTGTCGATCACGAGGCGAAGCAGCTATGGGTGCATCTCGGAGGTGATGTAAATGCCCGCAAACTCAACTCGTTGACAGACTTTCTGGATGGCCAGAGTGATAGTTGGACCGAACAACAGCCCCGTCGATGGCTAGGAAAGTCTGCACTTAAGGGAAGGGCCAGGGGTCCATGGATATGATCAATTATGGTCAGGCGGTATGTTGGAGCATAAACATACCATCCAAATAAGGATGGCTGTGGTCAAGTCGGTCCATTGAGCAGGCGTGCAATGCGGGACTAAGGGTATCGAAATAGAGGAGCGGGCAGCCCAAGTATTGTACAGCTGGGGGGCGATAGTGTTCAACGTTCTACGGGGACAGCTGCGTTTGCGATTCCCAACACTTTGATCACTGTGTCCCATAGAGGACAGGAGAGAGCTGTCAGTGGCGAGGCGATCTCAAGTAGCACAAAGGAATAGCCGGCATGGCTACCGCAACTTTACCTCCATGAGGATGTTAGGCGCAACGGAAGTTGTTCACAGTGCTGAGAGAGTAAATCAGACTTCAGTCCGACTAAACGATTCGGGGCTGGCTGATGTAATGGCAACGGGCAGTGCAGAGAGATGCACGACTAATGTCACTCATGTCTTTAGGATAATTAATAGGAAAGCCGGCAAGCCTGGAGTATTCCCCGTTTGACTGATAGTGATTACTAATCTCAAAACAATTCTGTAACTTCTAGCACTGGCGCATTTACTGGAGCAAGGCGGTCCGCAACTAATGTTCCGAAAGCGTTTTCTCATCCACATAGATGCGCTTAAGGGTCAAAGGCAATTTGGAGCCGCACTTGGTTGGCCTCGTGAACTTGCTTCCATTAGTTTTGTGCAAATATCAACAGGTGCTTACTTAGATAATGCCATCGGTGAGCTGTCACAAAATCCTAGATGCTTTCACGGGAGAAAGAAAAGTCCGTACTAGTGAACCCTCTACCACAATCCAGAGCAGGTAGTTTCTAATCGGTTTTAACGCCACTATGGAGTGCCTTCAAATTGATATATAGTAGTAAGGAAATATTAATCACTAGTCTTTGATAGAATCGATGAAGGAACATTATTAGGTCCTTCTTCCTAAGTTGCACCGTTGCTACCTCTTCCTATATAGACCAGCGACTGCGAATCAGGTTGAAGTAAGCCATACGCTTTCTTGCTCTCAGTGTGTTGATGATGAGCTGGATGTGTCATCCTGGCCCAGGCGAACATATCCACCCTGGTTATCCTTATACAAAACACTACTCCTTACCCACTTTCACCATGATTCAAAGGATCTCGGTCACGTTTCCGTAGAGCCTTTAGGCAAGCTTGCATTTCAAACATTCTTCCAACCCCTTTCGGGAGTCAGGCAGGCAGTATAACCTTTGGCTCGGCTCCCCATTCTTATTTCAAGACCTCTCATAAATCCACGGCCGATCCACACTCATGCGTCTTCCTAGAGTTTTGACCACTAGTTTCTGTAGACGCATTATCCGCCGAGCCGCCCTGTATAGTCGGAGTACAAGGTCATGGAAGTTTGTGACCGCGCGCTCGTGAGTCCTTCTTCGTACAAATGGAATCTCCATAAGCTCCTTCCCACTATTTCTCGAGTCCTCATGGTTCCTCCAAGTTACGTGGTCTCTCCTCTGTTGCCATTGAGCCACTGAAGGCCTCGACAGCTCTCTCGGCATCTCCATGAACCCTGTACATATGTTTGTTCTCCAGACAATCTCGTCGCCTGAACACGTCCTTTGTTCCTACGACCCAAATCCGATTTTTACTTTAACGTTTGATTTCTTGCTCGCAGATACCACTGGCCTCATGGCATAGCTGCCCGATCTGAGACTCAAGGAATCTTTGCGATATCTCTATCCGATTACTCGCCTTTTGAATTTTCTTTCTTCGATTTCCCCACGCTTTCGGGTACTTTCCATATTTTGCGCCTTCCTAATGCCCCAGTGATAGGGGAGTCCTGAGAGCTTTGTAGCTTGCCAAGCTAGGTTTCGAGGCTTCACCCAACGAAGCTCTATGCTGGCGCAAATACTCTACCACACCTCCTAGAACACCAACTCGGCGAGACGGCGATGGATCTATTGGAATTCCGCAACAGATGTGCTGGGCTACACGCAACCGTAGAGCACGTGCGCCAACATGATCCTGTAAGCATCCTCCCCACCGTGAGTGGCAAGCGCACATCTAATAAAACTTTCAGCACGTATTGAGCACACTGAGAGGCCTCAGATTCCATGTCTGGAGGGACTGTCTCACGAAACTCGATGTACTGCAGCGAGAGTCCCACGCCCTCCTGCAGGTGGCATCTGGCGTCCAAGGTTCAGAAACATACACGGACACACTCGCGCTCGACATGGGTCGCATAGAGCTCTTCATCAGTTTGACAAGAACCGCCATCTACGAGCTGTACAGAAGTTATGGGACTGTCATGCCTTTCAAGAGTCCTCTTAAACCGCTCCCTTTCGAGATGGAAGACATGTACAACCGGGAGGCCATTGAGCACAATGTCCCTTTTGAAGAGTGCGATGTGCTTTTCGACGAACTCATCAACCCCGATCCGGTCAATAATACCCAGCGCCTGGAGCATAACTCTCAGATTGGTGGTGATCATCGCAAGGGGATTATTCTTCGCGTACCTCCCCAGACTTGGGGTGAAAAGTCAACTTCAACATTGGAAGAGCATGCCCTGGCACAACCCAACCAGCATCAGGGAAACCAGGCCCCCGAAACCCCTTCGCTGAGCTATCTTGGAATGACGCCGCCGACACCAGCGCCTGCCATTTCAACACCGCGACAGCAGCCAGCGCCAACCATAGGCAACAAGCGCAAGCAGGCTGAGCTCGAAATCTCATCCTCGGACGTAGAGAGCCAACCAACCAAGATCAGGCGAGGAACCGAAGAGGGGACTGCTACGGCGCAGGGGGTATCTCACGACATCAGTGCCACATCTACGATTTTGAACTCGCCGGCTCAGTGGTTGGACAAGAAAGACACGGACGATGCCACTCAAGTCTCCAACCAGCCCAGAGAATCCCCACCGGCTCATTCTAGAGCAGAATGGCGTGGGCCACACACGTCCCCGAAGCTTGCCACACCTCCTCTGGTACAGCAACGTTTGGCCGCGGTGAAGGGGGCAGCTTCCCAGGCCCCGTCGTGGTACACCTGGCCTCTGGCACACATCCCAGCGCCCAATCTATATTCGGGCCGCCCAGTTCAGCAGACAATCCCACACAGCGGGCTACAACGTGGTGGCTTCATATCTGCGCCGCTCGGAGACGATGGTTCATCACCGACACCCAAAGCAAGCAACATGCTCGGTCCTGCCAGCCAGCGAGTACCAGGTAGCATTCCGCCCTGGCGGCGCCACTGCCTGAGGGTTCCCTGGCACCAAGCAGGAAGTGCCACCCAGAAAAGCCGCGACGTTGTTCCGCCCTGGCGCCGCCGAGCTCCTCCCCAGACAGCAGCCCAACCTGTCGGCCAACAAATACCAGGCCGCACTCCACCCTGGCGCCTTGCTACTCACCAGGCGGGGATACACGGCCACTATGGCCCTGTGAGTGCGCAAGTGCTCGATAACATGCCGTGCTTGCACCCCACTGCCCAGAGACAAGTGTGCGGTCTACATGTACGGTCCGGGGAGCGCTCGGGCGCACCGAGCCCAGAACAGCCACCCGCCTCTATGATGCTGCCGTGCCAGGCCGGAACTCGGAAGAAGCAGCAGCAGTTGCTGAGGCGCGGCGACATGGCTACGGGGTTCCCTGCGCTGCCACAGCGACGTATCACGCAGTACTTCCAGCTATCCAGGAACCAAGCCAGCAACGTGGAACAGGGGAAGCACGCCGGCTTTCAGTCACAACCAGACCCGGCTCACTCTCAGGGCCTGGGCAAGAGTCAAGCTCAACTCACGCCGGCACCGCAGGGCATGAGACACCCACTGCCGCAGCGGCCGTCTGTTGTCCAGCCTCCGCACTATTATTACACGCAGCAGCAGAGATAGGAGACCGGCATCCCGCATCTCGACGATAGGCCCTTTTTGCTGCTAACTGCTGGACCAAAAGCATGGCGATTTTCCGTTTGTCGAACCAGCATCGTCCGTAGGGTGAGAAAGGGGGAAGACGGAATAGGAGACAGCAGCAATCCCGTAGTGCCGGCCTCTCCTGCAGTAATTCAGTCTCATATATCATGGTGCCACAGTTCAGACTAGCAGGGGCGGATTAGACAGCGATGAGATGACCATAATCTCACGGATAAAGAGGAAATTTTTTTTTCCGTATTTCATGGCTGACGTCGCGGGCCTGATCTTCTTGCGTTATGAATGGGCTGGAGACTCGAAACCGTACTAAGAGACGTGCTCAAATAACGTGCTCCAAGTCGTTGCTTTTCACCCCAACGAGCGAGACTAAGGGAAAGGACGTCTGGGGAGAACATACACAATATATGTAGAACACCAATCGGGATGGTGTTTCGGACCTGACGGTTCGCCCGAAAGCGACCCCTTTTCTCCCGCTTTACCGAGATCCAGGGGTTCAGATCTTGTAATACGGAAACTTGCGCACCAAGAACTCGTGAGCTCCGATCGGCCTATCCTGATCATTCATGAGAGCACGAACCCAGGTGTGAACGTGGTACGATTGAGACTAAAAGAAACGCATCTGCCAAGTCGTCTACGCCAGAGTACGCCGAGCCCTTCATTCCTTGCCTTGCCAACAGGGATCGATACATGGAGTGAAACCCAAACAACCGTGAGACCCCAACGCCAATCATGCAATGCTATGCCTTTCCTCCTGCGGCACCTAAGACGGCCGTAACGTAGAATATCCATATCCATGTATGCGCACCAGGGAGCCTACAAAGTGTTGACCAAGCCTGCCAAAGCCGCGCGTTTCCGAGACCAAGAATGAGTTGCAAAAAAGACTCCGAGTCGCAAAAAAGTGACAAGAGTGAGATGGTGTGGCCATAGCCAGCTCCTCTTCACCCTACTCCTGCATCACGTAATGTAGACCTTCTTCAAGCGCTCCTCGGAGAAGACCTCGCCGGTGCGGAGGTCCTTGACCTGGCCGTCGAGCAGGCCGGCCTTGCGGGCGTAGTCGTCGAGGCGCTCGCGGCCGTAGGCGCGGCCGTTGGGCAGCAGCACCAGGTCGTGCTCGACGTGGCTGGTGGTGTGGTGGGCGTAGGGGACGGAGCGGGCGAGGTCGTTGAGCTCGCGGCTGCAGACGGGGCAGACGCTGGCCAGGCTGGCGACGTTGGCGCGGCCCTCGGCCGACTGGCGGTGGGCGCCCTCGGCGCTGTGGCAGGCGGGCGTCTTGAGCGCCGACAGCCCCGACGTCAGCGCCAGGTGCAGCAGCGGGATCGACGGCAGCGACAGCAGCCGGTTGTGCGTCGCCACGAACAGCTCCGCCAGCGCCTCCCACCGCTGCGGCGCGTACAGCGCCGCGTACGCCGGGTACGAGGCCGCCCGGTGCGGCGGCACCGCCAGCAGCCCGCACGCCTGCCGCACCTCGGCCGCGTGCGTCTCGCGGTACGGGTGCAGGAACCGCTGGGCGTGCTTGATGGCCTCGCTCAGCTTGGCGGGCGTGTACGGGCGCACGAGCTCGATGTACTGCTGGTAGCGGAGCATGAATTCGAGGTTGCTCTGGCAGGTTTGTCAGTCGCCTTTTCCGGCTCATTGTAATCCACCATGTAGACGTTACTGGCAGGGAGGCTAAGGCATCTTGGGTGCAGAGATACCACGGATAGAAAAACTCACATCCATCTTCCTCAACTCCTTCTTCGTGTCGCCAGCCGTGCACCAAGCCAGGGCCTCGGTGACACTGCCGTTCCGCAGGCTGTCCCTGATCTGTGCCATCTGCTCGAACGTCTTGACGTCGACGAGGTCCTCGATGCCGCGCTCGCGGGCCAGGGACTGGGCGCTGTCGCCGTAGCCCTGGCGCAGCATGTAGTCGACGAGCATGCGGTCGAGGCGGGTGCGGCTCCAGACCTCGTACTTGACGTCGTCGGTGGTGTGCATGGCGTAGATCTCGGCGAGGTGGCGGACGCGGGCCGTCTCGTGGCGGTAGAGGCGCTGCTCCTCGTCGGCGCTGGCGGCCAGCTTGCGCTTGACGCCGCGCATGCGGGCGATGATGGCGTCGAGCGACTTGAGCACGTCCTCGGTCGGCGGCGGCTCGTTGTTGACGGCCCGCGTCGCCGTCTCCTTCAGCGTCTCGACCACATTCTTCTTGTCCTTCTCGAGCTCGAAGTGCGCCGACCGGAAGTTCTTGCGCAGGAGTTCGAGCGGGATACGCAGTAGGGGATGGTCCTGTTGGAGAGAGGAACAAGGAGTGTCAGCGAGGTCGGGCGTCGTTGCAAGATGGTAGCTGGATGGGGGATCGGGGACGGGCACGTGGGTGTCCTTAGAGCTCCAGAGCGTTGGGATCCGTTGGGGAACGTCGTCAGTGCAGAGTACGTACCAGGAGCAGATGGTTTTCTCGATTCGTCTTGTCGAAATCCGCCATTATGAGCAGCTTGTGAAGGGTTTCATGCGTGTTGGCAGACAGCTCGGTTGCTGAGAGGCCGTTGGCATGGCCAGCTGGGGAGTGGTGGACTGACGTCGCTGGAGCTCGGCAGCTCGGGGCCCAGGTGGACCCGTGGGGTAAAGTGGGACCTCCGGGCACGGTCCCCGGAAGCCGCTAGGGGGACGCGGGTCGCGGGTCGCGGGTCGCCCGGGGTGTAACGCCGGCTTGCAGCAGGCGGACAAAGACAAGACGCGGCAGTTCTGAATCTTGTGACACCTTTGGGTCTGAATCACTGAGAGTATGACGAATTGCGCCACCGAGACAGCTGTCTAGACTGTCTAGAGCTAAGACTCGGCACACGGGAGTCGGTGCAAGGATCGACGTGTAGTCCTGCGCAGTCTGGTTTCTTCAACGTGCACAACTACAATATCACACGTCATGGCATGTCAATCCAGGGCAGCGCCCATTGTAAGCGGAAAGAATCTCAGCCGTATATTCGCCGACCACCAACCCCCTTTGGTGGTACTGATTCCTTAATACTACATACCCGACAATACAACCAACCGACCACTCCTGGGGAAAAAACGCTTTGCAAAGAGGATAAAGCCTATCCTTCCATCCAAACCAATTCCTTTTTACCCAGCCGGAGCCCTGTCACCTCCCTCCCTGGAAAAAGTGACCCAGGACGCCCCCGCCTCCGCCAGGGGTCATGGGCGCCACCGAGATGCCGTTGCCATTCGTGTTATGCGACTGCGCGGCGGCAGGGGTCGTCACCAGCCCGACGCTCGAGATATTAGGAGTGCTAGGCCCATTCGCCTTGCCGTTCGGGCCCGTGCCCGTCGCCGGCATGTTCTCCTTGTCGTTGAAGCTGCCGGCGTTCATGCTTGCGATGTAGCTGGCAGTCATGCTGCCGCCGACGGCCAGGCCCCAGGTCTTGCCAATGTGCTCGTCGGGGATGTTGCCGTTGAAGATCTTCTCGCGCAGCTGGAAGAAGATCTTGCCCGTCAACAGACTGTCCGAACCGGCCTGGTGGGCGGCGCCGACGCGCTTCACCTTGAAGGATTCGGCCAGCGCCTCGAGCCCGGACTTCTGCTCGAACTTCTGCAGTATCTCGTGCGCCGAGGGGTCGCTGGGCTGCAGGTGGCCCATTCCCACGAGCTTGATGGCATACTTCAAGAGGTGCTTAACGTCGTAAGTCGTAGGGAACCAGATCTTCATGAGGTAGTCGAATCTGGCGCCATCGTTGGGAAGCTCGGTGTTCATCAGGCATCTGGTAAAGTACCCAAAGTCGTATCCGCCGTGGAAGGATAGCCATTTGACGTCCTCGAAACTGACCAGGCCCGACGTCGTCATCAGGGCGGCAAAGGCGTTGGGCTCGATGCCGTCCACCCTGAGCTTCTCAAAGTCTATGCCGGCCTGCTGCAGCGATTGTATCGAGCTCTCGTTGGCCATGTCCTCCTTGATGTCGAAGTGGAAGTTGAACTGCCACGCGTACGGTATCGAGCCGTGGGCGGCCAGGTACTTCCTGACGGTCGGGCTGAGTTCGCTGGCGTCGGACTGGCCCGGGCGGGCGGGCGGCGTCTCGCCCTTCTCGTTGAACAGGGCTATGCCGACTTGGATGATCTTTAGCATGTCTACATTCACGCGCAACGTCTGGTAGTGGTAGTCGCTCTTATCGATAAAATTACCCATCGGTCGGCCTACTATGCCAGGAAACTCGGTATCCTGTGGGCGCGGCGTGTTAGCCATGAAGATCTTGTTCCCTTGGGGCCCTCGGGGGTGGGTGATTGTCACGTCGGCGGAGGGGCGTCTCACCATGGACACGTATGGGTAATCGTCCACCAGCTCCCGGAGGATGGCCATCTCTTCGGTGAGGTTGTGCCGCCACACGTCGCGTATGCGGCCCTTAGCCGCGCCGCTGGGCCGGGTGGTATGCTCGCCGCCGAGGCCGTGAGACTGTTGGTGGGGATGTTGCTGCTGCTGTAGGGTGGCGCCGTGGGCGAAGCCCATGCGCGCGGCATGGCTGGCCAGGCCCGTCTGATCGGCGGCGCCGGCCAGGTTGCCAACGCCGAAGCCCGCGCCCGTGTTCATGGCGGCTCCCAGGGCGCCCAGGCCGTTGGCGGCGCCGAAGGGGCTCATCTGGTAGCCCTGGGAGGCCAGGGAGGGCGGCTGGTGGGAGGCGGCATGGGACTGGGAGGGGTGGGAGGGGAACTGGTGCTGGTATGGCGAGATGGCAGGAGGCCCCGACTGGAACCTATTGGTGGCTGGAGGCATGGTGTTGCTGTTATCTCATGTATCTCATGTATCTCATGTACGTGTACGCTGCTCCGATTTTATCCTGCTTGTATGTACCAGACGGGAGAGAATCCTGGGATCGGTCGGCATGGGGAAGCGCCGGAGCGTCTTCTCGCGAGGGGGGTGGGAGCGCTGTATGCCTGCTTCGATCGTCGGTGTGCGAGGCCAGGTGGTTCTTGGACTGGTTCGTGGTCGATCGAGCCCGCCCCGGTTCAGGCCAAAGCTCGGGCGTCACTGGAACAGGGTATCGCGACGGGGGAACGGGGGCACGGGGGAAGAGGCCGCAATCGATCGGGTGTCGAGTGGCTCGGCCCGGGTCGTAGACAATGCTCGTGCTTGGTGATGATGGGTGAGGATTCAGAGTAAGCCTGTGTCTGGTCGCCGGGGTGCTGGTTTGCCTGGGTGATGGTGTAGCGGTTGCGGTGGGCTCGTCCTGGTCCTGAGATGGAAGAGATGGCTTTCGCGGTTGGACGGGATTGGATAGCATGGAGGTGGCTGGCCCGAGCGCATGCTCGCAGCCAGACAGCCTTCTGATGGGCGGCGGCTCTGGGCGCTGATGGCGTACACAGGCCTAAGGTTGGGGGGTCCGAGTCATGGGGGGAGCTGCTGCATGGCTGCATGGGCACCCACCCCTCCCACACTCCCACTAGAACCACCTAAGGGCCTGCTCACCTACAGGCCTAGGTAGCACCTAACTACAGGCGGCATACAGCACCAGCCTGCACTGCTAACCTAAGGTACTAACTTCGATGGACTTCAACCTGCACCCGGAGGCGCGGGGAAACTCTTGACCCGGAAACCTCAATTGATGCATGCCCCGGCACGCTGCATTGGAACTGCCCCCCCAGAAACTCCAGACAGCTGCTTAACGGGACGACCTGCCTCACGCCAATCAGCATCGCACCATTTCCCAGTCGGACAGCAACTGCTTGTGCCGACGGCCAACACCAAAACACCTCACAATGTATCCCACAAGGTACGCGCCACCCCACGCCCGCGCCCGCACCCGGGGGAAAGCTCGGAGCTCCCCTTGACATTCAATTGAAGCCCGTGGCTGACGCAACGCACAGGTTACTACGAGCGCAACACGGCGGCAAGCCCAGCATCACCGGCTTCGACGTCCGGAAGTACGCCGCCTCGGCCGGCCAGCCCAGATACGACCCGTGGGAGCGAGCGTGAGTGCCATCCTCCCCTACCCCCGGTCTTTCATTGCAGAGACACGATACACCCCGTCGCCAGCTCCCCGGACTAACACATACGCAGTGAGGCATGGAGATACCAGGGCCTCTTCTCGAGATTCAACCGCTTCCGGGGCGCCTTCCCCGGCCTGGGCATCGCCACCGTCGCCTTCGCCGCCTACTGCGGGTATGAGTACATGTTCCTCCAGGACGACCACCACCACGGCGAGGAGCACCACTAGACGGGGTGGAGAGGGAATCGATGGGTAGAGGAGGGGAAGGACGTCGAGATCCAGCGGCTTGTCCTCAAGCAAGCGCCGGAGATCCCTAGACGGTGATTCGGGACGAGCGGTTCGTGGGACACTGTACATATATCCGAGAGACGAGAGCAGTCGATTGTGGCCATGCCGCGCGGATCCGGTCCGAAATAAGACAGCATCAGCGACTAGAACGGAGGGTCCACGGCTATTCGTGCCATGCAAGAAATGCTTCATTTGTTTCTAGATCAATTGCCGCATTTTTGAGACGTGACCATCCTCTACTACATTCGTCACCTAGGATTGCTGAGCATCTATATGCATCATGCCATGCACATCCCACCCAATGACAGGACTTCGCAAGTGGTTCTTATTCGAGAGCCAAAGCGGCATGCGAGTGAGCAATAGCTGACTCTGTTAGTCCACTGTTACGGTATAATTCACTTATCATATCCTCTTAATCGTAGCTGCGGCCCGTTTGGTGACGAACATCGACAGGCGGTACTTGGCTGTGGGCTGGGCTGACTCTGGAATCACACCCGTGGCAATGCGTCAGAATGCGTCATCATCGGCTTTGCGTCAAGAAGAAAGCAACCTGGAGAAAATGCCCAAGTTATATGTACACTAACCAAGCTCCTGGAATCTTTGGTCGCACAATCAAGTATTGCTCATCAGAACACCTTCTACTCCGGCCCAACAAGTCGCTGGACGTAGTCATGCTGACCGCGGTCCATATAGGCAGTGTATCAAATCACATCTCACAAGGACAGTGTTCCGCAAAGCCAACCTCAACTCTGAACATCGAAGTAATAAGGAGAAAAAAATGGATTTGGATATCTCAGCAAATGCAACCTGTCCGTCTATGCCGTCCGGTAAACCCCCTGATATGATGACACAACACGTGCCCTTGATCTATGTATCAATCTAATGCAAAAAATCACCTCCCTTCCTTCCACTCACAGTCCCACGCCGTTGGCGAGGTCCAGCGCGCCGTCCACGGCGACCTCGAGCTCGGCCACCCTGTGCTTCAGGCCCCTGTTCTCGTCGCGCAGCAGGCCGACCGTGTCCCAGGCGACGCTGGCGTCCTGGCCCTGGCAGTTGCTGCAGCCGTCCGGGGGCGGCGCCGGCCCGGCCTCGCCCTGCTCGCGGGCCGCGTCGCCCGAGATGTTCTTCATCAATTTCTGCAGCGTCGTCATCTCGCGGGCCGACTTGGTCCTGGTCGTCGGCGGCGGCGGGCCGAGCGAGGGACCGCCGCCCTTGCCGTGGTAGGTCGAGGAAGACGACGACGACGAGGGCGGCAGGTCGAAGTGGCTCTCGGTGGCGCTGGTCATGATGGTCGGGGACCGGCTGCGCGAGAAGACGCTCTCGCTCTCGACGCTGTCCATGTCCGTGTCGAAGCTGGTCTCGGACTTGTCGGTGCCGCCCGACTTGCGCCACTTCTTGCGCTCCTCCTCGTCGACGCCCAGGTCCTCCGTCACCATGGAGCCCTCGCCGAGGATCTTCTCGCGGGCCACCCGTTCCTCGTGGCGGGCCTTCCTCTCGGCGTTCAGCTCGGCCATGAGTCGTTTCATGGACTGCTGCTGCTCGTCGGCTTTCCGGGCCATGTGCTCCAGCTGCATCTTCAGGTTATCGACCCTGAGCTTTGTCTCTTCTGCCTCCTCCTTCTCGGCGGCGCGCTCCGCCTGCAACTCTTGCAGAGTCACGGTCTGCTGGCGGTAGGCGTGCTGCATTCTGGACAGGAGGCCATGGGCGTTGGCTTGTAGGTTCTTGTAGGCGGCTGGAGAGAATGTCTCGTGGCCCCCGAAAGCCTCCGGGGGGTGCAAGGCAACGTCGATGTTCAAGTCCAATAGTTCATCATCGATCTGGGGACTGTTTGGTGATGGGTTGGTCGTCAGGCGTGTCTTGAGGGCCGATACCGAGGATGCAAAGAAGCCCAGCCCGGAAGGTGCCGCAGACGCCGTACTCTTGGGCGTCGTGTTCACGGATGAGGGTATCCCGCGCCTCGACTTCGGTGTGATATCAGGCGACGGGGCGTTCTCGGTGGGCGGCGTCGAGGCGCCACTCCACCATCCGGCCAATCTCGACGGAGAAGCCTCCGGTCTTCGCCCGACCCGTCCGTCGCCGGTGAAGGGCATGTCCGACTGGTTCCTCGAGTGGCCTCGCACAGGTGATCCGGCGCGGGTGCTGATGCGCAGTGGGGATAACGAGGGAGCCGTCTGCTGCCTCCGGTGTTGGTGGTACAGAGGGGCCGACCGATCATCTGAAGAGACCGACGAACGTGACTGAGGTCTGCGCGAATAGGCCGATTGTTCCTGCTCCGAGGGGTCCAAGGTCAAGATTGTTTCCTGCGAGTCGTCATATCTCCCGGGATTGCCGCCCGCGCCATAATAGGATGTGTCGATGTCTGGTCCGACCCCTAGAGGTGAGGGGCGTGGACTCGAAGGCGTACCCCTTAGCATGGCAGATATTACCCGATTCGGGTGGAATCAGCAAAGCAATGGGACGAGAAGTTGGGGAGGAGCTTCAACGGTGCTCCGGGAATCCGCGTCAGTAGGCTCTGGTAGGGATCTGGGATCCGCTTAGTCCAAGGATGCCAAATTAGTCGTTGTTTGAGGTTTCAACCTTCGTGGAATAAAAAAGCGGCACCCCGGCTCGGGTTTATAGGATTGGTGATTGGGAAGCTGTCCCTGTCGCTGGCCGAAAAGGCGTTGGAGTACTATGTACTCGTAGATAACTGTGCGGTGTTCGCAATACTGCCCGTCTCCCAAGAAACAAAACACAACAAAGAAAGCCACAGCTTCTGGACGACGGCGGATAGTTCGATAGCCTGCTTGCTAGCTCATGCGCATGTTTTGCGTGGAACAGCAGGTCGACCACACAACAAGGCAACGGGGCAAGGTTTTTCGTCCCTACGATCCCACTGGAGCAGAGGATTTTATACAAGCTTGTGCTGAAGGTGACAGTCGAGGACCCTTGCCCGCAGCGTGCAGCTCGTCGAGGCGGGGGGGACCACCCTACGGGTGCTTGTGATGTTGACTTGGGCTTGGTCCGAGATATGGAAAGCTGCAGGCTGTTGCCGGGGTGGGCGGGATGCTACTTTGGGGGAACGCCGCCGGGACGAGCCTCTGCACCGTAGATCAGGTCGGGAACGTGTGATGTCGAGAGAGGTCCAGGAAAGCAGAGAAGAGAGAGCCCAGCCTGTCAGTGCCCAAGACGTCGGTTTAAATCCAAGCCCAGCACGAGAGATTCCGGTTTGCAGGCCGCTGGAGGTATGATGCACCGTCGCTACCATACAAAAACAAGGACGAAAACAAAGCGAATGGTTGGGGTTTCTCCAGCGGCCATCATGGCGCCGCGCGCTGCCAACCCACCAACCCACCAACCCACCCCGTGGGCCCGCCGCCATTTAGGGTGGAACTCCGCAGCCAGGCGAGCCAGGTTCCTGCAAATGGCTGTTGGCTGGCTGCGGGTGGCCCGAGGCTGTGTGACGACGACCGATGACAGTTCTCTGCGCGCAGCCATCGACCTGGCCATTGGTCGCAGGGCCACCTACAGGGCCACTGGCAGGGCCCAGAACAGAATGCAAAGGTCCACTACATCCACCATCGTGCAAGGGTCTCCGGGGGTTCAATGGGTACACACGTGGACCGCCCAGCTGGTCCAGGTCATCTTCCTGATGAAGCGTGGGAACGTAGGTCAATTTGTGCATGAAGAATCACGACTCGTGTTATATATATATATATATATCTTCTCCGAGGTCATAAGTGAGGGTTTATGTTGGTCTTCGTCTCCTCTACCAAGCCGGAGGAAAGCAAGTACTCAGCAAGCCCACCTAGGTACCCAGGTAAGTAGGTACCATTTGAGGGACAGCTGGATTGGCACTTGCTGGCGAGACAAAGCCGTTTGCTGCATCCTCTATCCGAGTCTGAGGGTCTGAGGCGGTCTAGAAAGAGACCAAGTGCAGCAATTCCGAGCTTGCTTGGGGAAGTGAAGTTATCAATGCTTTTGGGTAACTTGATTGGTAGACGGCATCACAGGCGACTTCTACTACGGCAGACAGTAGCAGAAAAGGATGCAAGCTGTCAAATTTCGGCTCCGGCAAAAACTGATATAGCACAAATTATAGCATAGATTCTCTGCTAGAATATAATGCACTACAGACATTCCGAGAACGCAAGTTAGCTTCGTCAAGCTACGGTGCAGGTGACAACCACCGCGATCGACATAGTCTCCACTTTTGCAGAGTGCAGCTGACTCTCTTGAACGAAACTCAAAAAATGCAGCAACAGCTGTGCTGGATTATTCAACGTGCGCACCCAGTCTAAGGCACAGCGACTCAGGGCACTTATATCCGCCGGAAATGCTGCACAACACATCACCAATGGGGAGACTATAGCCATTTTTTTCAGCCCTTTCTATGAGCATATATGTCATAAGCCGTTTTAAGAGGAAAATCTTTTCAAGCACTCTTAGTGTAGCGGTTATCATTTAACACTTCCAATGTTGAGACTCGGGTTCGACTCCCGAAGGGTGCAGACGTGATTTTCTTTTGCTTCTTATTATCATGTCAAACCCATTATGACCGGCAAAAGATGGTTTTTTGTTTTCCTCCCTCCCTCGCTAGTTCTCTCGTCGTAGGCTGGGTGTGAACTTGCCAAGTGGGGGAAAGGCTATACTGAATACAGAGTATACCTACGACACTACATTATCTTTCATGCATTCTGAGTGTGCCGTTTCACTGACCAGACACATGTACTCCATGGGCGGCGCAGATACCGCGTTGCTTCTTCGTGGCTTGGTCAACTCGACATGCGCAAGTTTCTAGCAGTTAAAGGGGAAGTACCGACATCTATATGCCTCTTAAATTAGACCGTCAACGTCAATGAGAATTATACGAGACTTGAGCCAACTTGGTGATCTATGAAGGAGAGATATAGTTAAGAGCCCCGGCCGTGAATTCTGCTCTTCATTCCGAGATATATTTCGAAGATGTTTATTCACCCAATTTCTAGCCAAGACCGACAATTGTCACCCAAGTTTATACGTGCAGAAACCGGAGTCTGTGCACCCCAACATTTTCATACGTCACGGCTTGGGGAGCAAAGCAAGACCTCGATATACTTGCGAGTGTGTAGGATGCTTGATTTCCTGGTTTTCACTATCTACAGCCATTCGACGGGCCAATCTGAGCGTGAAACATGCCAATCATCGCAGTTTCTCCGGGGGCCGGGGCCACCACACGACGCCGCGGCGTCTCTAAATCATTGGGAAATCTTCCAAGCATAACCTAGCCACTCCCCTCGCCGTCCAAGCAACAGAACACCACAAGAGTCTAGTAGAAGCTCTCCACCATGGTGTCCTTCATGTTGCCCGAGATGTTGCCCGGCGCCGCGCCCTCGCCCAGTCTGAACACGCTCTCGATGACGCTGAGCTCCGTCGCCGTGGTGTCCAGTCCCGTGACGGCCATCCAGTCGTTCACCACCATGCCGGCACCGACCACATTACTTCCGCGGTTGACGCTGCCGGCCACGAGGGGCACCTGCAGTAAGCTGCTGAGCTCGTCCTGGTCCTGGATGCTGGTCTTGGGGTGGACCAGGCCGCCCTGGTTGCTGAGGGACATGTACGAGCCGACGAGGACGTTGTCGGCGATGGTCTGCCGGAAGACCTCGACGCCCAGGACGTCGGCGATGATCTCCTCCGTCTCCCGCTCCAGGTCCGGATGTATCAGGGCGATGTGGTCGTTTGTGACGATGACGTTGCCCAGCGCGGACAGGCGCTCCTCGATGCGCTGTATCCTAATCTCGTCGGGGAGGGAATTCCGCAGGTGCTGCAGCTCCTGGTCTGTGGTGGAAGTGGGGACGAGAAGGCCTTTGCGGTTTCTGCGAGCCTGGGTTAGAAGACCGAGGAACGGTGAGGGCCGACAGTGGCTTACCCTGCTGTTAACCGGCCGATGATGCGCGTGCCTGCAATGGTCGTGCGGCAGATGGGAATGACATCTTGCAGCTCTGCTTCGAAAACACTGCCAGGTCAAAAGTCAGCCTCGTGGGCCACACACGTTTTGCGACGGGACTCTGCGCATGCGCGCGCAAGGCGCCGCCTGAGCTTGCGAGGGGAAGCGTACCTGTAGAAGTTCTCGCTGGCGCCGACGGCCGTCAAGGCGTATGAGTTTGTGAGTGTCGAGAAGACACCGACCCTGCGGAAGAGGTGAGGTCAGTATCGCGGTGCGCCTCGGACATATAAAGCTTCAGGGTCCAAGGGACGTCTGTGACGGGCATGACATGGCATGGTGGGGCTTACTCGTTGGAGTTCTCGAACTGGGCTCGCACCGCCATGGCTTGGGTCTGCTGGGTATCGAGGGTTTGCGGTGGTAGGAGAATGGTGGTGGTAGAGTCGAAAAGGAGGATGCAATCGAGGTTTGTCTCCTCGGGGTATCAGGCCTGTGAGAGTGTGTGTACTTTTTTTTTTCTTGAGCTGTCTAGCAGAGAGCAGGAATTGAGGTCTAGATAAAGTGGGAGTCGTGTGTGGTGGGGCTGTCGACTTTTCGCTTTGTAACTTTGCAGGTCCTCTGGTCCTCTGGTCCTCGTAGGCTTATCCACGTCCAGCGCCGCAGCTGGACGTACCTGCAGAATTTCTCAGCCGCCGCCGGATGATGACTCAAAATCGACCAGCATCGCCACAGGCCAGCATGGGGTGACTCTTCTGCTTTCATGAACCATCCGGACGTGCAGCCACTGGCAAGGCCGTATTTCTCTCCCCGGAGCGACCTGCACGGATGCTAGGTGGGAAAAGTGGTCTGGAATAGCAGCGAGGCCTTCTCCGATAGCTCGTCAACCCGTCCAGATGCCATGCGCATCACTATGAATCATTCTGGCAGCACCCCACATTGGACGCCCCATGCGGACAAGCCACAACCTCAACCCCGCGATGCTCATCCCACGTCTCCAGCAGCCAGGCACTTTCATGCCACTCTTGTGCTGTTGGTCATGGATGCGGTCCAGCACTCGCCCAGCCCCAGGGTGATCATAAGTGTAGTAGAAACGCGTCAGTTTGAATCATGCATTTACTTCTCGTAAATCCGGGTATCTAATAATTCTGTCCGTGCCTCTATGCCCAAGTCGTACGCCTGTTGTGTTACCGCCCTGTGTTACCGCCCTGCACTCTGTCCCCCATTGTATACCGGACGTGCATACACATGATTGCGGATCCTATCGACCTCTGTCAAGAACACACCCCTTCTGGATTCCACCACATCCTCAGCGCAAATCAACACACGGAAAGTACCTCGGTCCTGCGAAGCCGTTCGCGATCACAGCCTGGATGTCAATATTCGAAGTCGGGTCCTGGTTCGGGCTCCACATCTTCAGCAGAATGAACCGTCCTGACACCGGCGGCTCAAACTTGATGGTGCATTTGCTCTTGTCCCTTTCAATGAAGAATCTTGCGTGAGGCCTCATCATCTCCCCTGGGCCCAGCTCCTCTGCGGCGTCTGGTGTACCTTCGAGCCCCGTTTCGGCCTCTTCCCCCAGCTCCCATGGAGGCGGCGTGTGGCGGCGCCGCCGCCGCCGCCGCCGGCTGTACATTCCCACATCATAAAAGCCATGCTCCGCCAGTTCGTCGCCGCTGCTGTCGTCGCTGTCAAACGGCCTCTCGAGTGCCCTCTCGAATGGTAGTGCTCCAATCGACGGCGGCTGCAGATCTGGTCTCATGGACACCTCGTCCTCGTCGTCGCTACACACCGTTGTCACCTGGAAGTCGGGCGACGAGGTTTCGAATGCTTGGGGAATGTGCGCGACCTCGTTTTCCTCGTCATCCATGCCGATGTCGTAGAGACGCCGAGCCCGAACCTGCGCCCTAGTCATGATCGTGCCGTCTTCGTTGTGCCTGATCGAGAGAATGGGTGCCAGCGGCTGTGCGTCTCGCTCCATGCGGCGCGAGCCTCGAGATGGTATGTACTGGATTTTGTACTGCGCCGTCCGCGCCAGAAGCTTGTCGTCCTCCATCGCAACAAAGACCATTCCTTCCTGTACTGGTGATGTGTAGTTCGACCGCGGTGCCTTGATGACCAGCTCTTTCAGAGTGAATACCGTAGAGCCCTGGTGTCGTAGAACAACGTTGCACCTCGGACCCTTGGTGCAATACACGGAATGATCGTTCCTGAGGATATTCTCGACCACATGTTTCTGGTTCCCATCGCCCGAATAGATCCCGCCGTCGCAGCTCACGATCTCCATCGTAAGAGGCCCCGGCTCGACCTGGCCATACTTGCCATAACGAAAGCCCCTGTAGTCGGCTGAAGGGCGGTCTGAGTCTAGTTTGCGTCTCTTGACGCGGCGGTTCTCGTCGGTAGACTCCTGGGCTTGCAGAGGCGGTGAGGGAAATGACAACTCCGAGTAGGGATGCGACGGCGGGTTAGTAAAGTCTAACAGCGCCCGCAGTTGATTATTTGCGTCGTCCAAGTCGTTCAGATGCTGTAGGTCTTGGTCTCCTATCCTCGTAGTACGGCGCAGGTGCTCCCGGGCCATGCTGGCTCTCTCTAGAATGGACAGTTGGTATCCTCCACGATGCGCAGCACCGGACCGCTGTCTTTCTGGATATCTGTCGGACGAACCATATCGCGGTCGCCCAGGCCGGCCTCTGTTGGGCACGACGGTGATCGAGACCCTCCCGCTGCGCGTGAGAGAACGAAGAGGTGGCAGGGATGGTGGCCCAGGCGCATCAGACGACTGGGGCTCCCTCGAGAACCTACGATACGGCTCCGAGTGCGAGTTGGCTTCGGAGGACATGGCGCTGCGCGATGTCGTGTGGGCGGGGGATTCGGAGGCTGAGGCCGAGGCCGAGGCCGAGGCTGATGCTGAAGCCCAGCGGTTAAGGTGGCTCCGGACAAGGTCCCGGCGGGCGCTGTTCACCAGAGTCGAGCGGCGGTGGGCGTTGGCGTGGAACCTCTCGATGGCGCGGTATAGCTCGCCAGAGGGACTGATCTCGGACGGAGTAGCGGCGTGGTCATCGAGGATGGAGCGGACAATCTCATCGGCAGAGCGGAACGTCGAACCAGAGCCAGAGCCAGATCGCTCCGGGTGATTATTAGACTGCGCCATGGGAAAGCAAAGTGTGTCAGCGTAAGATTGCGAGAGGCTGCCTGGTGCTCAGGTGCGACCAGGTCCTGGAAGGGGACTGAAGGTTGAGGGTCATGGTAAGTCGGCAGAAACTACCGAAGAGAGCGACAGAGAGTGTGTGAAACCTCTCGCGGGGGGCCAGCCGGAAGGGGTTGTGGGATTCGGGCGCACTCACCATTTACCATGGAGCACAAAGGACACGGGACATATAGGTCTGGCGCTGAGGTTTGGCCGCGGGCACTTCTTTGATAGACTTCCAGCAGAGTAGTTCTTAAAGCAGACCCCAGCCGGGGAATTTCCGTCTCCAGAGTTGGCAGAAACACGACGGTATATCCACGAAGATATCCGATTGGTGTCTCAGTCGCCGGGGGGGTCGTTGAGGATTTGCAGTCAGGGCCAAGTCGTGGGACCGGGGAATGGGGCGACGTCGATGGTTGCGGGAATGGAAATTCAGATCACCTCACCTCAGCCAAAGCGCTGGGACGGGCTGCTCGGGACCTTTTCTTAGCACCAGCAGCGCCTGGAAAGAGGGGACGGGGCGGGCTGATTAGTGGACTCTAACTACGTAGCATGGCGGGACAGACCATGCTGGACCCAGGCGCGGGGGTCTTGTAACCCGTGGGAGACCGAAACGACGGACGACGCAAATCTTAGCGTGTACGCGGCCGCCTGGGTGGCAGGGTGGCCGACATGGGCGTCACAGGCGGAACAGTGACCGCGGAGAAGTACCTCTTTAACTCGCGCGTCATAAGCCGCCTCCAGTGTGCTCCGGGTGCACCTGAGCGCCTGGCAAACTGGGGGCAATCCAACCGCGACGGGGCTACGGGCCGCGCTAGGGTGGCCACGGCCCCTTGTCCCCTTGTCCCCTTGTCCCCTTGTCAGCCAGAGTTGCCGCTAATGTGTCTTGTTTCTTTGGGAACGAACCAACTTGAGGCTCAACGTAAACGACAGAATACAAAACGCGCCCTCGCATTTCTCGAGTGAACCTGGGCCAGGGCAGGGCGGAAACAACTGCAACCGCGGGCCAGTCTCATCGCACCCCGAGGCCATTCGCGCTCATCCCGAGTCTGCTTCACCTGAGTCGGAACGGGCAGCCTGCGCCCCCAGGCCGTCTATCTTCCTTTCTGCAACATCATAAGTGGATGTCTGGGTCTGAGGTCCTATCATGCGAATCACCTAAGGCCTCGACTATCGAGACGTAGCCTTGGAACTGACGAAAAGGCGCCTTCCCGCAATTACGTCTTTCAGCATCACATCCCAATTGTCCCGCAACCTGTACCTCCACCTTATCATCGACTTGGGATTTGTTGATTCGCCCTCTTGTCGCAAGTTGCGCGGTTCTTTTTTTTCACGCATCGTTACCTCGGAGGTCTCGTGATGGAGGCGCAACAGGAAAACGAGAAGACCAGCCCGGCAGCCATGCCGGAGCGACCAGCCCAAAGCGCAAACAGTGACGCGTCTGCAACTGCAACTGCCGCTGCCACCAGCGCTGTTCCCGACGAGCGAGAGCAGCAGCAGCAGCCGCCGCCGCCGCCATCCCAGGCCCAACCTCAGGAGCAATCTCAGGAGCAATCTCAGGAGCAACCTCAAGAGCAACCTCAAGAGCAACCTCAAGAGCAACCTCAAGAACAGCCGCAGCCTCCACAGGAAGAGCAACAGCAACCACAACCGCAACCGCAACCGCAATCGCAACCGTCAACTATCCCACAGCAGCCAGGCCAAGACAGCATGCTGCCCCTGCCAGGCCATCACCATCAGCATCACATGGACCCTAACGGCATGGGCATGGGTCTCGCCATGGGGCAGCTAGACTCGAATGGCTTCATGATGCCGAATCAAGGGATGGACTTCAGTGCTCTTCCGCATGGTGCTAACGGCATGGCCTTTCCCGACCCAAGCTTGATGATGATGGCGGGCCAGCAGATGGGTATCCCCCCTCTTCCGCCTCAGCCGACGAATGGCACCAGCAATGGGATCACTGCAGGTAGGCACTCATCACATGTTCCCTCGCCGTTCCTGATACTGACTCGGAAAAGATGAGATTGCCCTGTACGATCGTCAGATCCGCCTCTGGGGCATGAAGGCGCAGCAGAAGATCCAGAGCGCCAACGTCCTCTTGATCAACATGAAGGCTTTGGCCAGTGAGATTGCGAAGAACCTCATTCTGGCTGGCATTGGCTCCCTCACCATTGTGGACGCCGAGGCAGTCACTGAAGCCGATCTGGGTGCCGGTTTCAGTATCTCCCAGGCGCAGCTGGGCTTGAATCGAGCACAGGCAGCTGCAGAGAACCTCAGGAAGCTGAACACGCGCGTCAGCGTCTACGCCGACCCGGACAGCATCATGTCGAAAGGTGCTAGCTATTTCGCAGCCTTTGACATCGTCATTGCGACCGATATCAACCCCATGACTCTAGCCTTTATTAACACGGCAACCCGCCTGTACAACCGGCAGTTCTACGCTGCGGCATCCCATGGCCTCTACGGCTATATCTTCAGCGACCTGATTGAACACGACTTTGTGCTTCAACGCGATAAGAGCAACGTTGACACCAAGGTCGGCGAAGAGACGCGCACCCGCAGCGTCGTTGATGTCAAGGTGAAGCAAGAGGGCGACAAGAAGATCGAGGTCGTGACCAAGCGTGAGCTCTACTCTACCTGGGATCTGGCGGCCGAGACCAGCCTCCTGCCGGTTGACTACAGAAGCTCCAAGCGTCGCCTGAAGGCCGTCACACCGGCGCTGTCCTGCTTCCGGGCGTTATGGAGATTCCAGAGCGACAACAACCGCAACCCGGGCCCCAACCGCGCAGATCTCGAGTCATTCACCAAGAACGCCACGGCCAACCATCAGATGCTCAGCCTGCCCAACGAGACCCTGAACTCGGAGTTCCTGCGCAGCTTCCTGCAGAACATCGGCAGCGAGATTGCGCCCGTCACGGCCATCCTCGGCGGCCAGCTCGCCCAGGACGTGATCAACGTCCTGGGCGCCAGCCAGCCCCCCATCCAGAACATGGTCATCTTTGACGGCAACAGGATGCAGGCCGACATGTACCCACTCCACCCCGAACCCACGGGCGGTGTGCGCCTCGGCAGGGCCCAGCTGGACATTGGCGGCAACATGGGCGGCATGGGCGACATGGGCGCCATGGCGATACCCAATGCCGACTTCTCGGCGCTGCCGCAGTTTCCCGATCCTGCCATCTAGGAAAACTCGCAGTTCATCGCGGAGATTGACCAGCTGGTCGCAGATGCTCGGCTGTGCCTGAGGGAAGGCCAGGCGTAGATGGTGGCCTCGTGCCTGCGTAATCTGTACCGGAGGAAGGGTTGCTAGTGCACAAGCGCTGCGGCTTTGCCTGTGGTTGTCGTGGCCTCCCTAAGATATAGAGCAGAGGGATTGGGGGTTTCCGTAGGTCTTGAGAAGGGGATATCCAGGATAGGGGTGGAAAAATACCCTCGCGCGTCGTTCACGCTGCGGTGTCCACCCTGTCCGCGTTTATTCATTGCATCTCGGCCTCGGGCTGTAGACAGGAGGGGAGGGGGAAACGCGCAGGAAAACCAAAATTTTGTACATTACTTGGCCATGAAATGATGACCACCCCTTTTCCCCTTCGAAAAGTGCCTGTCGCTTTGGTTCGTATGTTCGGGCATGTGCTGTACCCGAGTCTCTTGATATGTTGTCTTCGTGATCAGCAGTGGACATCTAGCTACTATGTTTTACGGCAGTGATCCTCTACTCCTGTGTGCGTTGCCAGGCATTGGATCGGGCATGTGAGGCGAGGAGTCTTGTCATCATGGACCATATCACATCGTTCAAGGCCTCTGCCGTTCAGGACCTATAAGGAGCCTGGAGGCTGTGAAATACTTCCGTAGGTCGTTGTCATGAGAAATCATTTGTGTCCAGCCAAGTTGCACTATGTGGCTTGTTCTCGTACTGTATGACCGGTTGATAGGCTGGGCAAACGCAGTTTCTGACCCCGCGGTCTATTGGTCACAGACATCGAGGTAGGTATGTGGAAACAAGGCTGTTTCAGCTACGAAAGCTCACGGTTGCAACACGCAGCGGTGTAGAGCTCACAAGCATTCACAGGAGACAGGAAAGTCACCGGACATAGCACGATGCCGGGGAAACATTGATACCAGTGAAAGATTAAGGTCCATGAAAATGCAATTTTCCTATACAAGGAGTTCGCTATGCCTATCTACCAGCCGTGCATGCTGCGGGTAGCTGTTCCGAAAGGAAAACCAGGAAAAAAGTACAAAATGCAAATGGGAGAAGAACTCCTTTCGTTCTCCCGTTGTTTCTCCTCGTCCTAGTGAAACGTCGTCGTGGATGGTATACAATAAGAGGCAGTGAGCGCCCCAATAAGAAGAGGTGCTCATTCTTTCTTTGCTCGCTCACGAGATGTGGCCCTGATGCTGGCCGACAAGATAACACACCGTGGTGGAGTCCACCGACTGATGCTGTTGGTTTTTGTAGTGTACAAGTGCTGCGTAGCATAGGGTTACGCAGCTATTTCTCAGAGCTCAATGGCCCTGAATCGCGCCTATCGAAGTGCTTCTGATTCTTCGTTATATTTTGTGGGAAGTTCGTAATAGGTGTGAAGTCTACTTGGGTGACTCGGTATCCTCCACTGATCCTTCCTTTCTCGAGCCTGCCCTGTTGCGGTTTCTCTGGCCGTTATTCACCGACCATCCCCTGATGGTGGTGGGTCCGGTGCGAGGCGGAGGCTCGTTTGCTGAGTAGTCCTTTATGGCGCCTTTCGGGTCGTAACTGGAGAGGCGCAACTCGGTACCGCCATTCGAAGGCCATTGGCGATTGTACGGGATGGGAGCTGCAGCAATTCTACGATACTTCCCAGCATTTTGGCCATTGGGTCCACCAGGACCGGGACCCGGCCCCAGACCAGGGATGGGGGAAGGAAGAGGTCCCGCTCCTCCCAATGAGGGACCGCGCTGATGAGTAGTAGGCGGCGAGTTTGCGATCAGGGGTCCACCAGGAGGTCCCGGGGGCACTTGATCGAACGGCCCTTGTGAAAGAGTTGGTGGCGAGGGGCCCATCTGATGAGGCATAGGAGCCAATTGCGCGTGTCCTGGGACTGGCGGAGACATGGCGGAAAACGAGGACAGATGCTGAGGTGGAGCCTGACTGGGCACGATGGGCGGCACGGGGCCGGGGGGACCTGGCTGAGCCATGGACATGAGCGGTGCCGGTTCTTGAGGAGAGAAGCTGTTGTGGAATGGGTGATGTACGCCGGATGGGTAGAAGGCTCCGGCGCTAGGCTGCATCATGGCTCGGGGTGGCTCGTACTCCTGTCCCATGGGAGCGATCGGCTGGGTTTGTGCTGATGGTGCAGCAAGGGCTGCTGGCGCTGAAGGCTGAGGGGCTTGGGTGTCAAGAAGTAGGCCGCTGATCTTGTCGCGTCTTCCGGGTCGTAGCGGGGGAAGGGCAGGACTGCCCTTGCCGCTGACCTGGCCCGTGAAAGGATTTCGTTGGACTGGAGTCGGTGGCCGGCCATCCAAACTCTGGGGAGGCGCAGGTGCTATCGGTGCAAACGGCTGGGTTGGGTTCAAGGCTGTCTGGAGGAACCCGGTCGAGCTAGAAGGAGGGCCATGGTGAGGTCCATTCATCATATACGCGTTCATCATGGGAGGGCCGTTCATGATTACCCCTTCCGCGGGGCCACAGTATGCCTGAGGGTTTTCGGATACATCGGCGAGAACAGAAAGCCCATATGTATCGACGTGGCGGACTGGCATGGGAGGCGGAGGTTCGGATGCCCCGAAAATATCGCGTACAGCATCGTATGGCCTGGAGGCTCTAGGGTTCATGGCGGCCTCTTGAGCGCGCTCTTCGTCCTCCACTGACTGTGCCGCGTCGAGCAGCTGTGCAGTACCACGCTGTCGCATCAGCTCAGTACGGGGATCGATGGCGAAGACAGGCTCCTGGTAGCGGTCATCCAGAAGCGTGTCCTCTTCATCTTCAGGCTCGGGTTCGGGCTCGCTGGACACCTGTCTCTCCTGTTCTTCACGCTGCTTTCTGCGCATCTCTTCTGTGGTAATATCCTCCATGTCGAGATCGAGATCCTGTCTCAGCACCTGAACCATAGCGCCAATCCTGTTTCGGCCACGATCCTCCCTGACAGCATTATCCATCAGTCTGGCACGGACGGTGCGCGATGCATGCAGAGTACTCCCATTTGGTGTGACAAGGACGACAGGACGGGTCGTGTCGATGTCTTCCTTCGGAGCTTCCTGCTCGTTTATCGAGTCGGGGAGGAAGAAACCGAATCTGGGATGCAGGTTGTGTTTCTTGACTAGCTTAGGATCCAGATCACCGTCTCTATAGTCGAGGCAGTTGTAGTTGAGAATGGTTTGGTCCAGGTGCCAGAATCGGGAATTCGGCTTATTGAGAAACCTGCCTCGAGTGTTCTTGCTAGCCTTGCGCGTGGAATCATTTGTGGAGTCGCGGAAACCAATGTCGTCTTCATCAAAGTCGTATAGGCACGGGATGATGAGGCGATTGTTGGCCTTGGGACCTCGTTTGGAAACTGTCCTGGTGCCCCACTGGTCTGGCTCCGAGGCGCCGGCAGGTAGATCGGGAAGATCTTTCTCCTTCTTTGTGGCAGTATCACTCTGCTGCGAGGATTGAGGAGACATGCCTTCTTCGAGAGGAGTGGGCGACGGTGCGTTCGACTCGGGCTCGCCATCCGGCTCGGTCTCAGCACTAAGGAGACCTCCAATATGGCGTGGCCGTGGGGTCGATGCTTCACCGCCAGTGTCATCACGCGGAACACCCAGGCGGGACGCGCTGGAAGTTGGTCCAGAGATGAGCCTCTTGGACTCTGGCTGACCGTCGGGCACGTCTTCAGCTTTCCGCTTCGGACCGGGCTTCTTGCGGCCGAGCGTACTTCTGACTGCCGACGTCTTGATATCCGCCAATAGATGAGGATAAGGGACTTCAACGCCATTGCGGATCATAACATATGGTCCTTGATCTTTGGCAACCTCGTCCGGCTCCTGGACAAAGGTATATGAAGCAGGGAGCTAACAGTATCGTCAGCATCATTGTACGACAATCAAGTCATTGGCGAGTTGGCACTTACATCTGTAGGGTATTCCTCGCGACGAAGCTCTTCGAGCAGAGTAATTCGATTCAGAATTCCGTCGAGAAACTCATCAGTCACATACTCAAAGCCGTCCTAAGGTAAATGTAAGCTTGGGCTGCCAAGACAGGATAGGCCTGTGTGTCAGTCAGAATGTAGGTGGATACTAACCATGAACCGCTTCTGGGAGAAATCGTTGTCGTCCCGGTAGGTCTTGTTAATATGGTCGTATTTAGCAGTCTCCTCGGACTCGAGGCGCTGGATGCTGTCGTCGAGCCTGTCATCGAGCTCGGTTTGAACCGTGAAGTACTCGGGCACCTTGGTGTGAGCGTCAGGACTGTCAATCATTTGGTTGAGCGTGTGATCAGCAAGCTTCTCCAGAGCCGGCTTCATGGCGTTGGCGACATCAAAGTAGAAGTCTCGCAGCTCCTTGGAGCGCTCGTAGGCAGCCTGGACACGCGGGTGGTCATAAGTCTTGTACCGGCCACGGCCTCTGCCACGGTTGCCACCGCGTTTGGTCATGGCCGGCTTACGACCAACGGCCTTTCTGCCAGGACCTCCTCTCCAGCCACCGCGTCCTCTGAAACCACCTCTGGTAGGTTTCGCAGGACTTGGTGCCGGGGAGCCGGCTGCCTGGACGTGTTCATCCATGATGAGAGTGAGAGATCATGCAGCCGTGGAGGGATTCTCCGGGCTGCTCAGTGGGAATATGAAATTGATGCTCGGCAAAAAAACAAAGCAGCCGGGGAGAGAATGCGGCTGAGGCAGGTTCTGATGAGAGAAGTGATGGTTGGTGATATGGGTAGTAGAGGCTGTTGTTGGTGAAAGGGAGTAGAAAGACGTGTGAAGCAGTGTTGTAAAGGCAGGGTGAGGGCCAGGAGGCCGGAAGTTTGATGCGTAATTATCCTCTCCAGGCGTGGGGCGCCAGAGCAGAAACCATTCACGGCCGGCAGAGCAGAATGCAAGGGATTCGTAGATTATGCTGCCCGGATTGTGCTGCGCGCGACGATTGATGGGACAATCGACTTGAATAGGCCGTTACTGTGAGTTTTTCTCATCCAGACAACAATTACAAGCCAGCGCCTCACCTTCCCCAAATCAGTAGTCACGCTTTTTCGCAGGACGACTGGGCTATGGCTGGCGCTGATTGGCCCGCCGGCGGGCACGGACCCGGGCTGGCCGCCCAAGTAGCCAATACCTCGAAAAATTGTTGCATAAACGTTTGCGGCGCTGGCGGCCACTGCAATGCTGCACACGACGACCGCCGCCGACAGAGGCAGAAACGCTGGTTGCGATTCTGCTCGCAGCCGTGCAGTCGAGTCGTCGCTCGAGTCTGAAGGCCCCCGATAAACCAATTTAGACGAGCAGGCTATCTGTGCATGCCCACGACTGCCGCAAACCGCGTCCGTGTCGTGTCTAAGAGCGAAACCTCGATGCCCGGCTTGTCCCGGGGGGCGTGTAAGCCGAACGAGGTCACGGTGATCCGTATGCGAACTCAATTTCTACCGACGCCCAACAGAATGCAGAGAGATGCCTACAAGAAATGATGCACAGGATCAGAAGGCAATGTGCAGCAAGGCTCCTCGATTTCGTGATACACAGCTGCTATGCTGCTGCTGACGTGAAGGCACCGCATGCCGTAATCCGAGCCTGTCAGCGCAGTGCTCAATCTATTGACACGTAACTCGTAGACACTGTTTCGTAGTGCCATTCCCCTTTGCGCAACGCCGCCAGTCTTACCACATTGAACAAGTCTACTCCAGCTCACGAGCGATGCAATAGAAGCGCCGTGTCACGACCCGTCATAAAGGAGTTTAATGGTACAAACAAAAGCTGCTCAACCGTCTTATCACGCCTACTCCCCTCCAGAGGCACGCGATCTAGAGGGCACTGTCAAAGCATGTTATAACCGACATGCGCATTGCATACAGTTTCTCCGAGTTTCCAATAGCCCCTGTCCGTTGCGTGTGCCTCCCAATCCGCCGCATTTCCGCGTGCCCGACAGCTTGGGAAGTACCCAGTACAAGGGGAGACAATAGCGAGCAAAAATTCCCACTTCCAGCGTCTGAGAATGAGAGGGATCCTCGCTCGCTCGCTCTCGCCCCTTGTCCCCTCCAATAGCCACTAAATCCGGAATAGCCCACCCGCATCCATGGATATTGTTCGACGGCCGGCCAGCCGGGGGGAGCCCTGGCCGCAGAAAGTGGGACACGACAGCTGCAGCACGCGCGTGTATGCCAGACACTTTTTTTTTTTTTTTGGTTACTGTTCCTCTAATTGGCGACGACATATCAAACTTTTGGCTGCTCGACGGCAGCGCCATTCCACGACCTGTTCTTGTCTGTCCGCAGCGCCACGGCCTTTTGAACGCCCTGGCTTCAGATGACACGCTCCTGGTAGAAGACATGTGGTTATAGGACCATTCAATCCCGCGGTTTCGCCAACAATGGGGAAGCGTCGCAAGCTGTCGCAAAAGGGCCCCTCCCATGCGCCGAAGGGTGTAAGTGGGAAGCAGCAGCAGCAGCAGCACGGGGGCCACGGCCAGAAGCCAAAGAAGCCGGGCGGCTCCAATAGCACGCCCAAGACCTCGGGGGCATCCTCGAAGCCCCAGCAGCAGCAGCAGCAGCAGCAACACGCCGAGCCTACCATACCCTTTGCGCCCGAAGACAAGATCCTCCTCGTTGGCGACGGCGACCTCAGCTTCGCCGCCTCCCTGATCGAGCACCACTACTGCGCTGACGTGACGGCCACCGTCCTGGAGAAGGACCTGGAAGAGCTGCAGGAGAAGTACCCGCACGTGGGGGAGAACATTGGCAAGATCGAGGCCGAGGACAGCCGGGTCGTCTTCGGCGTCGACGCGACCAAGATGGCGCCGTTCACGGACAAGAAGGGCCGGGACGGGACCGGCGTCATGGACCGCATCATCTTCAACTTCCCGCACGTCGGGGGCAAGAGCACGGACGTCAACCGGCAGGTGCGGTACAACCAGGAGCTGCTCGTCTCCTTCTTCAAGCGCGCGCTGCTGTCGCTCGCGCCCGGCGGCACCGTCGTCGTCACCCTGTTCGAGGGCGAGCCCTACACGCTGTGGAACATCCGCGACCTGGGACGGCACTCCGGCCTGCAGGTCGCGCAGAGCTTCAAGTTCCAGGCCGCCGCGTACCCGGGCTACCACCACGCCCGGACGCTGGGCGTGGTCAGGAACAAGGAGGGCGAGGTCGGCGGTGGGTGGAAGGGCGAGGAGCGCGCGGCCAGGAGCTATGTCTTTGTCCGCAAGGACGAGGCGCCCAAGACCGTGCCTCAGAAGAATAAGAAGCGCGCAAGAGATGCGGGCGATGAGTCGTCAGATGATGAGTAGAGGCATACGTGTATCTGGATAGGACCCAGCTCATTACATGTCACTCTAGTTGAATTAAAATATATTCAAATTCAATGAACCGTCATGACTGAATGATATAGCCCTTCAAGTCTAGCCACAAGAGTAGGCATCATCAGTGATGGCCTAGTGCCCTCAGCCCATAACTAGGCAGCTTACGAAGCATTCGTAACTCGCTTAGAAGTTTGATAAAACGGCCGTCTATATCGGCAAGTGTCTTCGCATATCGTTGTTGTTGTCCTAGGTTGGTACAAGGGAATTGGGATCTACGCGAAACATGTGCTATTTCTCAGAGTGAAGGTCGCAGAAAAAGAAGTGAACTTCCCAACTCGAGGTCTCGTTGGTACAAGCCCGTGAGGCGAGGCTACGTATAAGATTCCGTGGTGACCAGGCTGTGTGCCTGATTACTCCTCGCAAATCTAAGGACCTGAATTTGGTCATCACTGAGATCCCACGAGGTACATGCGTTTCAGATGCACAGCCGAAAGACAAACATGTGCTGGATCGGGTCTGGCGGTGCCTTCTGACTTCATCAAGGAAGATAGCAGCAATCACACCCAGAGTCGTCGACTATGACTTCTCAAAGAGCGAGAATACTCTGCTCTGAGTTACTTGGCCTCTACATGACATACATTATATTGAAAGCAGTGAGCTATATAAACAACGGAAAGCGCTGGACGCCTTTAGCTCCAGAGTCTGTAGAGATACGGCACTGGCATGTACATAATTCTTCAAACTTATACGCGTCGGTTGGCATGACGAGGCTATACTATACGTATCACAACGCAGAGAACGGCGGTCATCGATGTGAATAAGGCACTCCATATGGGAAATCTCCCGCAAAGAGAGTTAAACACCTCTTGCCCCTTTTTTTCCAACTTATGCCGTAGGCATACACTCAGTTCATGGCTATAAGTATATACGTATACCGTACCCACCAACCTTCGCGAAAATTCAGTTTGTACCCAAACGCCCTCTTCATACCCTACATTTACAAAACCACGAAAAAGATCAAAATGATATCGAAAAAAAGCACCAGCAGCATGGTATCATGATCGAATGCCTGAAAAAGGGAGGCATTGCTGCCTCCCAAAAATGCCGCAACCAATGGGTATAAAACCGTCCGGTAGCTTCTCATGAGTCGTACACTGCAGAAGCGAACATGTCAAGACGAGAAATATCTGAGAGGCCGAGCGAAGCCCAGCTGCTCCATAGTCGCACAACCAGCGACGGAGCAGTTATATACTCTTCAGAGACGGAAACACGGAGTCTACCAGATGTTGTTCCAGCTGGTACACCCCAAAACACATCTACAGGGGGGTTGTCCGGACAGCCCTTGGAGAAACAGATAGAAAAGAAAGGACAACGACCAACACGGCTCTGAGCCTCCGGATGTCTTCCTGTATAGTCCTGCATGCAATGGTAGAATGAACAAAAAGCCTGCGGTCCCCAGGTCCGCAAAGGGAAAAACAAACCACCCCGGCACTTCTAGCTCCGGTTGATGACTGCTGGTGGTGCGGGAGGCGTTGACCTTGCTACTGGGTCAAAGGCACTCCTCGACCTATCTCGATCCGGGAATATAGGGTCGATCACTCTCAGAGTATCAGGTCCTCTCGATTCTGGCGTAGGGTGTGGCGCTTGCTGTATCGGCGGTAACGTGTTCGGCTGCGGCGGAGACTGTCCTTGGGCCTGAGAAGGATATTTCATGGATTCCCGAGTCGTCGAAGACTTGGAGTCGATAGGTTGGCCTCCACGGTCCCTTGGTGACTGTGTTTGTCTCAACTGCTCCATCGGCTCCGGGAGCGCTCGAGGGGTCTCGGTAGTGGACGCCGGTGAAGCTAGTGGGTAACCACCGCTTGTAGGTGACATCTCGTTGCCGCCAAACTGGCTCCGTCTCTTGCCCTTTGCGTCCAGTGGGTTGGTCACGATCTCGTATCCCGGCGAGGAGGCATACTCTCTCTGTGGCGCGAATACTGCTGGAGCTAACGGTGCCGGAGTGATGGGAGCGTATTCCGTGGACCTCGCATAGTTTGCACGCGCCTGGGCTTCTTTGTCTGCTTTCGAAGGCCGCCCGCGTTTCTTGCCGGTGCTCGTCACAGACGGGCTGCTGACCGGAACAGCTGCGTAGCCATTTGCAGGCGGACGAGGTTGAATATTGCGTGGTGGATAATTTGGCTCGGTAGGCGTGATAATAGCCTGTCTCTTCAACGGCTGGTCGCTTTGTTCGCCTATAGACTTGCGCTTCAATGTCGACAGATTCGGGGGTTGGGGAAAATGGACCGGGAGGATCTTCTCCACCGCGCCCATACACTGATACATATTGCGGCCTTGTGCTGTCAGTAGCCATACACTAGGCAGAAGGCCAGCAAGTGGTAGGTAGACATACCAATGGGTAGTTGCATAAACATCCAGTTCTGCTCTACACTGTGTGCTTTGATGAACTCGGCCAGGACTGGCACATCGACCGAGCTGGCTTTGATCATCTCCCCCAGCACAAAGCGCTGAGGTTCAACCATTTGTCAGTACTCGGGATCTCGTCTGTCCATGGGGTTCTGAGCTTACGGTTTCTTGGTCCGATAGAGTAGTCTCCATGGCGCGCGTGGCTTGCTTATCCAGCAAAGAGAAGTCGAGAAAGGAGGAAGACGGGAAACGTGCAACGGGACCGCAGGTAAGGCATTTGGGAGATTATAGGCAGAGGCAGAACACAGAAGTAGCTACTTGGTGGTTGTAGTCGTTTGCCTCGCCCGGTGGAAGTCGAATTATCGGGCAGGCTGATTCATGCGGCTCTCCAGTTAACCCGCTGGAAAATCAAGACAAGCTGCGCGCGCTCCAGGCAGTCGAACAATGGGACATAGGACTCCAGGCTCGTGAGTAAGGGAGGGGAGGGGACCACGAGCTTCGCGGGCCGGGCGTGGAGGACGCGCGCGAAAGTGTCACAGGGCGCGCTTCTCGGGCGAGAAGCTCCAGAGCGATATCAAACGAGTGAATGTTCTGTCTCGAATCTCGAGTAGCACAGAGACAGGAACCGGCGATGCTTGACTGATGCGGCGGCGGCCTGCCTGCAATCCCACGAGCCCAGGGTTGCCTCCGCAAGCTCCGCCCAGGGTATCTAGTAATTGGGGGTGGGAGAGGGCGCGCGCGGAAGCTTGGGTCCTGAAGTGACTGTGCCTAGTTACGCGGTAGGGATCCCGGCCGGGGGTTTGCTTGTTGGTATGATGGAGTCTCGGATGTTTTCGAGGCCTTGTCACAAGCCCTGGGGGTTTGCCGAGAAAAGACAATGTCTGTGTCAACCTGGAAAGCGATCCCCTCGACAATCTCTCCAATCGAGGCCGGGCCAACCTCGACCAGTCAACCTCTGAAGCTATCCTCCAACTCTGGGTGTAGTCAAGCTGCTTTTTGGGGAAGCACAATGCGACCCGGCGGAATTGGATGCGAGGCCTCTCCAAACGCGACTTAAAGTCGAAGCTAGGGTACCTAGGCAAGGTTGGGCTGCTCCCCCCAGGAGGCGCGGCCCTGTGCCAGTATTGGATGTTTCCAGTGTATCTGACTGCAAACAGGCGAGAGACGAATGCCCAAAAGGGGGACCGGTGCTCTGAATCGAGGCATCGAAGCCCTGCAGGCGTGTTGCTAGTGACATGGGGGAGGTCATATGTCGCACCAGGACATATGTTGCCAATGTTCACCGCAGGCGAGCCCTGCAAGCGGGCTGCAGCCATCAGGTCCCGGGCGGGAGTGGTGAGTGGACTGACGATATGCAGCTTCTTTCTCTTGCAGATGGCCGAATACATCTGGGCCGTCGAATCATCGTCAATCAGGCCAATCCGGCTGACCACTTGGACAAATTGGGTCGCCTGACTCTGAGACCGACGAAATAGCTTGCTTTTGCCTCGACTTAGTGACACATCAAATGGCACGCCCGCCCGTATCTCGTTGGCGTACTCAAGCACCCTTTCGTCGCCGCAGACGTCCACGGCTGCCACACCCTCTTTCGGGGAATGTGTGCTGGAGGCCCGGCCCTTGCTGGTGTCCCACGCCCCGGGGCTCCAGGGCTCCCACTGAATAATACCGTTAGTCTCCTTCCGCCGGGAAACGCTCCCATCTGTTGCGAGGCATGCTATGCATGAATTGTCGACGAAAAGAACTCCCACGAAATTTCATTTCTCTGTGTCTGTCGATTTTGGGAACCTCGTTTTGTGTTCCCATTGGCTGATGTCCGTTGCTTCGCTGGCCTTGCAGCTCTTCGAATCTTCTAAGCTCGGTAGTGCCATTGTCGCGGGCAGCTTGACTGGCTGAGAGCCGCCGCGAATTCGCCAATCACACTGCTGAAGTGCCCTTTGTGCGCGCTGGCGGTCAGCACGGATCAGGTGTTCTTCTGCAAATGAGGAGCCAGTCTTTGAGGCGCAATGTTGGTATACCATCTCGTCTCGAGTATAGAAGGTAGGACAGAGATTTGGTATAATGTTGTAAGTCGAGGACTGACTTTGGACCCAACCCGCTGCGCTCCAAGTCCACTATATATGGACCATATGCCATACCGCCTTTTCGCTACGCAGCCCAGCATCCAAATTTTTGCTCTATGCACAATGCGCTGGCATGAAAGTTGGCACCTTCTCAGTGGCCCGCCCCCATGTGCAGCTCGTCATTGCCGGATGTATGGAAAAGCTCCCAAGCCGATAGCAAGAACAAAGGAAGACCATTGAAGGTTTTCAGAACTACAAGTGGGTTATAGGGTCTCTTGGAGGCCTATACTCTACTGGTCTGGGTAATTGATGGCCACTCGCTGCGCATTGGAGTGAGGTAGCTTCTAGGATCACCAATGACACCATGACTTGAGGGTGACAAAATTGGGAAGTGCACCCTCACTACATTGCAATGGCAATCGAAATCGTGGAGCCTGTTTCCAGACCCTCTATGGTATTGGCCTTTTTTTCCCCTCGCCCCTCCAGCCTACAGTAGTATCACGGCAGCAGGATTATAGATCTTGGTAGACATCTCGGGGCACCGCCTAGTTGGGAGCCGAGGTCCACCAGCATTGAAGCCCGCTCCGGATAAAGGTGGAACCCTAGGACGGCGATGATACTGTGGGCAAAGCGGTTGGTCCTAAGGATCTATTAATCCATGGTGCACGCATTGGTGATTCTTCATCGACCCTACACGCTGCTCGTGCAGTGATCGATTTTTGATTTATTTTTTTGTTTGCCTGTTTCTGTCAACTTGGAGAAGCCTTGATTGCCTGGGTCTGGCAGACACCTCTATAGCACGACGGCGGGAATCTTGCAGTCCTAATGTTTTAGTCCTCCTCCGGGAAAACTCCTTTTAAATTCGCACCCGCGCGAGGCAAACAAGATGCTTTTGTCTCCTCTTGTGCGGTGAAAGAGATCGCACGTGACATGGCTGTCTCTCTCGTCGTTAATTGTCTTGAGAGTCGTGCCCATGATGACGACTTGGTAATTGAGTCTACCATCCAACGTGCGCCAGTGAATCACCATAACTAGTACTGCACTGGGCGGCGTCAGTTTAGCCTTGATCGCCCGCCATTGGACGGCTGGGTGGGGTTCCTGCGGTCGGCGTTCTCTCCATTATTTCCCCGACAGTAGAAACCCATATGGCCAATTTCTTTGCGCCGCCCTCCCATCAATATTCCCCTGCGAGGTCGTTGATGGAAAACAGTTCTGTCCGAAAGACGCGACGCTGAAAGAACGGCAAAGCACCGCGCAGCCAGGCAAGCACCCTGCAGTCCCAAGCAGGTTCTTTTCACATCATCCGGGTCGACGCGACGCGCATCTCGGCTTTGCTACAGGAGTCACGCTGCAGCAGATGGTAGTTCTCGGCTTGCCGACGACGTCCCCCATTGCGCCTTCCGCAGCGCGCCCTCTGTCCCTCTCCCTACTTGACCAACCGACGGACCGTTGATACTAGAGCGGGCTGGCCGTGATGCTACGGGTTGTTGTCTGTCTGGATCCTTCACCGTAATTCGACGCCAAAACCCCATCGACCACGCGAGGGCACTGGGTACTGCCGCGAAGAATCTATGGACTAGTCCAAAGTCACAGACCCTTTTTTCTCTCCAGCTGCGTCAGGGCCGTCTTCCCCTTCCTTCCGCCTCTTGACACACCCGGGGGCCAGAAGAATTGGTTCAGAAGCGTCCAGCTACGATCGTCTCAAGCCGAAAGTACATTCCATCGTCTACGACGCCCAGCCCCTGGTCCCACTGTCGGCGACGGCCGCCAATCCCACAGGACAGCGAGAGGGCGACGCCATGGAAGACGAGGAGCGTGTACAAGGCGCCTTGGAGGGCCTCACCGTCGACAATGGCGGTGATGCGCCCTCGACCGAGGTGAAGAAGGAGGGTGGCAGCGCTGGCTCAACCGGCTCGAGATCGAGGTCACATAGCATGTCGCCCTCCGATGAGAAACCGCGCAGTGACAGCGCGTCAACACCCGACAACAGTGCGCACCCGCCCAAACTGTCCCGGAAGGCATCGCAGAAAGCGGTCCCGCGAGTCAATCTGTTCCACGACACGCCCGATGTGACTGACGAGGCCTGTGGTCATTTCCAACTGATACCCGACTGTCTCTACGGCTCCAAGTCGCTCGGGGCCACAGAACACGATACTCTGGACTGCGACTGCACCGAGGATTGGCGCGACGGTGTCAACCATGCCTGCGGTGATGATTCTGACTGCATTAACCGCGTGACCAAGATGGAGTGTGTGGATCGGGATTGCAATTGTGGCGACGGCTGCCAGAATCAACGATTCCAGCAAAAACAGTACGCCGACGTCTCGGTCATCAAAACAGACAAGAAGGGCTTTGGACTTCGTGCAAACAGAGATTTACAGGCCAATGACTTTATCTTTGAGTACATCGGCGAGGTCATCAACGAACCCACATTCCGCCGCCGAATGATACAGTATGACAAGGAAGGCATCAAGCATTTCTACTTCATGTCCCTAACCAAGAATGAGTTTGTCGACGCGACCAAGAAAGGCAATCTGGGGCGTTTCTGCAATCATTCCTGCAGTCCCAACTGCTACGTGGACAAATGGGTGGTAGGGAACAAATTGCGCATGGGCATTTTTGCCAGCCGCAAGGTCCAGGCGGGCGAGGAGCTGGTGTTCAATTACAATGTCGACCGTTACGGCGCAGATCCCCAGCCCTGCTACTGCGGTGAAGAGAACTGCATTGGCTTTATCGGCGGCAAGACCCAGACAGAACGTGCCACAAAGCTGTCCAATGCGACCATCGAGGCTCTTGGTATTGACGATGCCGATGGCTGGGACACGGCCGTTGCTGTGGTCAAGAAGCCGCGCAAGAAGCGAGCCGGCGAGGACGATGAGGATTACGTTAACAGCGTACAGGCCCGCGGCCTCGACGAGAAGGGTGTCCAGAAAGTCATGGCCTCGCTCTTGCAGTGCAAGGAGAAATGGATTGCCGTCAAGCTCCTGGAGCGCATTCAGACTTGCGACGAGCGTCTTCTGCCCTATGTTGTGCGCATGCACGGATACGAAATCCTGAGGACGACGCTAAACTCGTTCAAGGACGACACCAACGTTGTGCTCCAGATTCTCAGCATCCTCGACAAATTCCCGCGCTTGACCCGGAACAAGATATCCGATTCCAAGATTGAAACCGTGATCAAGCCTCTTACTGATTCCGAGCATGAAGATGTTGCTGAAGAGTCCCGGCGGTTACTGGATGTGTGGAGCAAACTGGAAGTGGGCTACCGCATTCCCCGAAAGAGTCGGACTGGCCCTGCTGCAGCACCCACCAACTCATTTGAGGAGCGCCGCGGCGTTCGCCTCGAGGAACTGCAGGCCAAACCTGTTACCGTGGCATTACCGGATAATGTACCCAAGGGCCCTCGCAGTAGCATTCCTCAGCGAAATGTCAATCTTGTCAGCCAGCAGCGACAACGTCGTCCTCCTGACCCCACTACGCTGCCGGCCGGTTGGTACATTGCCACCGAAAAACAAGGAAAGTGGTATTACTACACTAAAGGAGGTCAAGTGCAGTGGCAGCGGCCCACAGAACCTGCTCCCGAGGCCACCTCACAGACTGCAAACTCCAGGGCAAGACAGGAGCAGCAGTCCATACAGGATATCATCGATTCTCTTTCCAAGCCTGACACCAGTGGCGTGAGGAGATCAGCTACTCAAACCCCAAAGCAGGCCACGACCCCTGTCCAAGAGCCAAAGAAGGAGAAATGGCGGTCTTTGCCGATAGAGAAGCAGATGAAGATCTACGAGAACACTCTTTTTCCACACGTCAAATATGTGATGGACAAGTTCCGTCATAAGCTCTCCAAAGACGACCTCAAGAAGTTCGGAAAGGAAGTCAACAAGGCAATTGTTGCCTCTGACTACAAGCATCATCGCGTCGATGACCCTACGTCGATTTCTGACAAGCAAGAGAAGAAGGTCAAGAAATACGTTAAGGAGTTTCTCGACAAAGCCGTTGCCAAGGTTCACGCACACAAGCAAAAGGCCGGGCCGAGCCAGGATGACTTGAAGCCCAACGGCACTGTCAAGGAGGAGGAGGAGGAAGAGGAGGATCTGGTCATGTCGGATCACGACCCGGATCAGGATGAAAACGCTTCGACACCATCAGACCACAAGAGGAAGAGAGAGGATGATCTGGAACCAGCTATGCCATCCGAAACGCCCCTGGTAAAGCGCCTCAAGGAAGAGGTTGAGGGTGTCTCGGGCTTCCCAAGTCCTCCACCACCGCCGCCGCCTCCTCCGTCAAATATCCAGATGGATGATGCTGATGCGCTGCGTCAGCAGGAGGCAGAACTCGAGCGGGAGAACGAGTTAAATCAGTTGGATTTTGACAGGGAGCAAACGAGTAATCAGCAGGACCAGCCAGCCTTACGAGATGATGTAGGCAAGAGCGGCATGAAGCCGAAGCAGGAGGTTATGATCCATTAGGACAGCGTTAGCAGTGCTGTGACTAGCCTCGAGCGAGTGCCGAAACACGATGGCCTTCTTGCAACGGGTTGAAGGTACTATTGCATTGGTCTCTTGGCAAGGGTTACCTATTGTCTTGATCACTGTCATTGACTCGTTCGCCGCGGTATCATGCACCTTCACCTCCCGTCCCTATAGGACTACCAGTGTTGAATCAAGCAATCGAGGCATTTTGCATCATCCAAAGGGGCGTATGTCGCATGTGGTTGCGTTACAAGAAGCATTGGCGTTCAGGTTGCACAGGATTTCATAGGGAAAGGCAGTGTGCTCCACGCGTTGCTTTTTTCTTGGCATTTGGCATGTTGTTCGCGAGAGGCGCTGTATTTTGTTATTTTTTACCCCCCATCTGGCTATAGGTGCATCACGGAATGGACTGAATACGATCAAATACATAAGGCTGGGGCAGAGCAGGGCCACAGACTATCACTTGTACTGCCTGGCCCCTGAGCGTGGAAGGACTAATACGATGGAGAGACATTGGCTGAATAGGAGAAAACCCCAACATATATCCATCCCTGAAGTCGATGGCACTGTGAGCATGTGTTGAGATATTGTACATAAGTTGGAAAAAGGATGACCTCCAGTGTCTGGCGTCGGGCATCGAACGAAGGAACGTTTTTGCATTGTGTGATTACATTATATCCATCACGCAAAGGGTGCAGCTCGCATCGCGCCAAAGTCAAATCGCGATATACAAGCCCGGTAGATAACCAGAAACACACAAGTTGGACTTTGTGCACAAGATTGGCTTGGCATCATCACATACCAATCGCTAACTACCTCCCATTGCTACCGCCGAAACATGAGGTTGCTCTTGGTCGACAAGTGAACACAGAATGGTCACCAAGAAAGTAGCTTGTCCAGGCGGACAACTATCCGAGCACGCGGAACTGCTATCTGGAAATTACGTCGAACACTGGCAGCATATAGCATGAGGCTACTACTTCCGTCGCTCGGTAGCTCTAGTATATTTCCGATTCGTTGTCCGGCAATGCTACGAATTTTCCTTTGCTTGATGTATATCAGCTACAAGCAGGACTACAATACTAATCCACCACCCATCGCCTTACACGTACTAATGACCGTCAGCTCCCAGAAGACCAGTCAGTATAACACCGTGATTACACCGGATTATCAAACGCCTTGGCTACAACCTCCGGCAAGGACAAAAACCTCGCCATCGCATCGGCCGCCTCCTCCAGCTGATCCACCCACTCCAGCCGGAGACTGTCCTGCACCGTCCGCAGGTCGCCATGGGCCATCCCATGTAACGGTGCGGTGTCATTACGAGCCACCATCTCTTCGTAAGCTGCAATCCTCAGCCAGATGCGCTCCAAGTTGCGCCATGCCACCACGAGAGCCTGCAGACCGATCCGCGCGCGCGTCGTGCCTGCCCTCCAAGCTGCACTCCGGAACCTGTCAATCTCAGCCTCGACGCTGTCGCTCCTGCCCTTGAGATGCCTCGACCCTGGGGACCAGTTCCGCGTGCATTGCCTCCAGGTCTCCTCGCACGACTCGGGGCCGTATGCTTCTGTGAGAACCGGGCTCGTAGGGGCCAATGTTTCGCAGGCCTTCCATTCGTGTTTCTGTCCGATGGACCACCAGAGGCGGAAGCGGCATGGGGCGAGGGTTTCTTCTGTGCTTATCCTGTCCGGGGGTTGAGCCTCGTGGTTTACGGGCGGCTGATGGAGCTCGCTCTCTGAGTTGGCCTCGCCTGGGGCAGTCTTCTCCCTCTGGCCGCGATATACGACTGCCGCGTCGGCCAGCTCCCCGTGATATCCTCCGAGCTGCTGCACCGCGCCGTCGCCTTTCTCAATAGCAGAATCGATTTCGGTGCTTTCTGAACCGTGCTCATCCTCGAGGTCGGTGTGACGGCCCTGCCGTCCACATGAGCGCCGTGTACCCAGATGACGGCTATAAGTCCCGGTCCGCAGCGCTGATGTCCCTCTCCAGACCGACTGCCCACTGTTCCAATGCCACCTGCCGGAATCCGTGGCGCCGCACGGCTTGCAGACGCCCCCGAAGCTCCCGCCTGCAAGCTGCAGAAGCCGCACATACCGGACATCGGCACGGTGTCCGCAGATGGAGAAACGGACTGGGCGGCGGCACCCCGGGCACGTGTCCTGAGCCCGTCCGAAACAATCCGGGTGGCAGTAGTGGCCGCAGGGCAGCTGTATGAACTCGTCGAGTGGACGCGTCTCGCTGCAGGCAACGCAGGGTGCTTCGTGATCCTTGATGGTGCCGGGGAAGTAGTTGGGACTCCACATGTTCTGGCTTCGATCCTCGGGCACGTGGGGGTCGAAGTCGGAGATGTGCCTGGCCTTCTTCGGCGCTGCACTCAGAGCGCGCCACGACCAGCCGTGCAGGGGCGTTGGCAGGCCGCGCCATTCGTCCCGTTCCGAGGTGTGGTAGTTCTCTGGGTCCCAAGTGACGGTCTTTCTCGGCTGTGGAGCCGACGCTGCCTGCTTGGGAGGCTGGTGTTTCTTGGTGATTCCCTTGCAAGACTGCAGTCTTTCGCCAGAGCCTTCGGCTCTGTGGATTTGTACGGTGGTCGACACGGTGATGGAGTCGTGAACTCCCTCATCGCTATCAGAATCCGGCTGGGGCGGCTTGTATGTAGTAGGCGGTTGTCTGCGCTGCCTGTAGCTCTGAGGGCGGATTTTACCATCGCCAGGCCTCGTCTTGGCCCCGTATGATCGATAAAAGCCATTGTATGCTCTTGCAGGAGGAGCATAGTCCTCGACCTCGACTTGTTGGTCTTCTGAGGATGCGTAAAACTCCGGGTGTTCGGGCGACGGTTCACGCTTCCTTGGCCGACCTGGACCTCGCCTTTTATTACCCGCTGTGAGTTTTGAATTTGGTCTGCTGCGTGCCATTTCGATCTGATATTATCCCTATGGCTTTTGGGTACGCGTTCTGGTAGGTTCAACCTCGTGCAGAGAGCGAAACGACAACCAGACCTATAGTTGTGAGTAGTTGCTCCCGAGAGTCTGTGATCGGGATGGAAATGGCGGAGTCGGGACGGGAAAGTGAAAAGATGAAAAAGGAAACACCCGGTTTTGCAATCTCCCACAACTATAATCTGGAAAAAGCCGAATTTGGAATGGGATTCTCCGATTCCAAAACTCCTACAAACTGTAAATCAGTATCGGAAGTATAGCGTATTGTGCTCAACTAGATGGTCAGAAAAGTGGGACCAGTCCGAAGCCAAGCGGCCAGACGAAATGTTTGAATATAGTGATGTGGAAATACGGGGTTCAACTTCGTACTGTATAGTCGATGTTTGTTATCCGACTTGGAACGGCACAGCTAAACTCAGGCCACACCAATAGCACCAGTGAGATGTACAGTCAGCGACACCATGGCCCATGCTCATTGGCTCAGGCTGTATAAATGTCTATAGTCATTACACTTCTTCGCCGGTAGAGAAGAAAACCCTCCCCACGCATAGCTCTCGCAAGTGAAACCTATTCAACAATTCACTTAATCACGAGGGGTTCTCTCAAGTTGCAGTTGCATCTTCAATTCATTTCAATTCAGTATCGCCTTGTTCTATCAAGTGCAATGTGATATCCGTTAACTCGTTAAAACGCCGCTCTCTTTCACCAGGAACCCCAAAAATGCTTCCGATCGCATTTCATAAACAGCAAAAGCCCAAATCGTGCCATACAAAGAGCAAAAGAAAATCAACAGCTCGGGAGATCACCATATACTGGCTGTGCATCACCAGCTGGTGACAATCTTCTCCAAGGCCCCGAGCAGGATGTCGGCGTGGCCCTGCTCAAAGATAAGCATGGGCCTGAGCCGGACGGCGTTGGCACCGCTGCCGCCAATGTTGACACCGAACTTCTTGGCCTTGGCGAGGAACTGGTCACGCTTGGGGTTGTCGAAGGCAATGAAGGTTCCCTGGCCCTTGCCACGGAGGTTCTGGAACTCGCCGGGGTACTTCTTGGAGAGCTCCTCCAGCTTGCCGAACAGGTAGTCGCCGACCTTGGCAGTGTGCTCGACCAAGTTCAGGCGCTGGACCTCGTCGATGATGGCGCGGAAGAGAAGAGCACGGGCGGGGTCACCCATCCAGGTGTTGAATTGGCGGTAAGGCTTGTTGGGGCGAAGCTCGGGGTTGCTAAAGTAGTATCCGGCAGTCTGAGCCTTCTTGGAGAAGGTGACCATGTCCGGAGGGGTGGGGAGGTCCCAGTGATCGTGAGCCCAGAACTTGCCAGTGGCACCAACACCTGTCTGGACCTCGTCGACGATCAGGAGAACGCCGTGCTTCTTGGTGACCTCACGAAGGCCACGGAAGAAGGCGGGCGAGGCGTGGTTGTCACCACCCTCGGACTGGATGGGCTCGACGATGACGGCGGCAGGGGGAATATGCCAGGTCTTGATCAGGTGCTCAACCTCCTCGAGGGCAGCAGCCTCAGCCTTGGCGTTCTCCTCAGCATGCTCCTCGAGAGGATACTTGAGCTGAGGGAAGGTGGCCTGGGGCCAGTCGAAGGCGGGGATGTCGAGCTTGTGGATGGGCTTGGAGCGGGTGGTCGAGAGAGAGCCGAAGAGGCGGCCGTGGAAACCGGTCTTGAAGGACATGATGGACAGCTGCGAAGCACCGGGCGACTGGTTGTTCATGGCCGAGCTCATCTCCTCCTCGGTGAACTCGACCGAGGGGCCACCTCGCTCCTTCTGGCGGCGCCACATGAAGGCGGCCTTGTACGCCGTCTCGTTGGCGTCGGATCCGGCCATGGCGGTGAAGACCTGGTCGCATCCCTTGGGGGCAACCTTGAGGATACCGGTCTCGAGGACAGATGCCCAGTCGTGGGAGGGGAAGTTGCCCAGCGCAGGTCTGTTGATGATGGCGTTGACCATATCGGGGCTCTTGGCGGCGTCGACCAAGGCCGGGTTGTTGTATCCGATGGGGATAGAAGCAATCTGGGCGTAGCTGGAGCACAGTTAGTCTCCTCTGAAGCATCTATGGTCTTGGTGTAGTCGACGTCTGTTGAGGCGACTTGACTTACACGTCCAGGAGGGTGTTGCCATCGGGGTCCACGATGTAGTTGCCGAAGCTCTTGGTGTAGTCGGCGAGCATGTTGGTGCTGCGGGTGTCGAAGACCTTGTCCAGGGCGGCAAGGTGCTCCTTGGACTTGGGGCCGGGGATGTCGGTCTTGATGACAGGGCCCTCAGGCTCGCCGCTGTAGTAGCTGGAGACCATTCTGGCGGTTGAGGCGGAGAAGGGTCGCGAGAGGGTCTGGGAGAGAGACTGTCTTGCGGGCGAGGGAGCAGAGAGACGCTTGCCGGCGAGGGAGAGTGGCCTCAAGCCAGAGTGACGGAGGGCGGCCATCTCTACCTTTTTGTAGCCGAAGGTTTGTTTGGCCGAGGTGTTTGCTGGGTCGACTTGTTCCCACCAGAGACGGGTTTCAACGGTAGGCCAGGAAACTTAGGTAACGGACGGAGAAGCTGGAGGCCCAGTAGCAGCAGGAAGAAGGAAAAGAAGGGGGAGAAGAACAGAGTCCCACAAGACTTCAATTGGCCCGAGTCGAGGATTTGCCGCCGGGTGTCTCGCAGTCGATCAGATCACAAAACAGAGGCCCGAGAGAGAAAAAAGTGGCGGGCACAGGGGAGTTATCAATTGGGGCCCGGAGGAGGAGAGGGTACAGTCGGGTACAAGCGACTTACTCTGGCATTACGTAGGTACCTACTTAGTGGGTGAGATAGGGCGCCGAGGGGCAGCTCCAGCAGACGGCAGACCAAGCTTTTGCGGGGTCTGGATGCCGGGGTCTGGTTGGCCGGATACTGCGATCGCCGGCGATAGGGCCTCCCCTGGAGTCCTGGACCCCTCTGGAACTATGGCCTGCCCTTTGCCCCCCCAGCTAATCGTGACGAGTGCCTGCTGCACAGCTGCAGTACTTGGGCCCGTTGGGGCGATGGGGGGTTCGCGAGGGCTGGGGGATGGCCTGCCGTGTTACCAACCTCGGCGGTCTGGCAAGCTGGGGGACAACCGGGAACCTGGGGAATGCACCGCGTGGGCTTTCCTAATTTACCTAGCTACCTCATTACTGTGCATATAGGTACTCTATTCGCCATGCTGTTCCACTGCCGTCTGGTGACTGCCCATCCATAGTTTCAGGCATCTCGGTTTGTTTTTCGATCTCGCAGTCAGCAGACCCAGGGCCCGGCAAACCCAAGCGATAGATACGCTACCCCACCATCGCAAGACGTGAGGGCTGAGTTTCGCGCCGAGCTACGCAGCTATGCAGTATACGGAAAGTCTATGCGGCGATAATCATGAGGCGAATGACCCCATCAGGACCCCGGACCTCCCTAAGCTTCACCTGCGATAAGGCTAGGAGATATCCGCCCAGCATTGGAGCTCGCCTGTAGCATGAGTATGAGCATGAGCATGGCGAAGGCCCCGATCTCGCTCGATTGGCCCCAAGTTCTTGGCTATAGATGTGGTAATGCGAAAAGAGAGATGACTATACCATGTGAGAAACAGGAAGGTTTTCGCGGTTTGACGCTCTTATACGACGTGGGGCTTGCATTTCCGCACTGCTTGCAATTATCTACTGCACGTGCCTCGAGTTGTCTACACTAGGTGCAGGCTTCCAACAACCCGCCAATAACGCCCACCAACCATGCTACCTACATTTATGCAAACTCTTCGCGATTACTCCAGCCTGGCTGCAGATAACTCCAGTCTTGGCTGAACTTGAAGCTCGTCTGGTATTGCCCGTAGCTGAACAGCGTGACCTCGTCGAGCTTCGCGCCGTCGTCCGTCTGCGCCCAGAGGCTGACCGCCAGACTGTTCCTGCCCCGGTTGTTGACGACGCCCGGCGGGATCGGGAACCTCGTCTGCGGGCCGAGCTGCGGCACGTACTTGCCGTACTGGTAGCCGTTCACCCAGAGCATGACGCGCGCCACCGTCCCGCTCACGGCCGAGAATTCGACGCCCAGCGGCACGTCGAGGTCCTCGTCGAGGTCGAGCTCGAACTCGGTGGTGTAGAACCGGATGCCGGACTTGTCCAGGCCCTCGAGCGGCGTCGAGTCGCTAAAGTTGGACGAGCCGGAGCCCGTGTCGCAGCCGGGGAGGTGCCAGCCGACACGCTCGCCGTAGAGACCGCCTTCGTTCATGGGACCTCTGACGGGGTCAATGTTTGCAGAACCTCCCGCGTTCCCCTGGATCTTCCACTGCTTGAACCCGGTGCTGGTAGATTTTCCGCTAGGAAGGAGGTAAGCTCCCAGAATACCCCGTGGATTTTCCACACCCTTGGCAGTCGATGTCTGGTCGTGACCGTGGTAGTCAACCACGACCGTAATCACATTGTCCTTGAGTTTCAGCGCGGACGTCGGTAGTGAGAGCGTAGCGTTGATGTTCGTGAGACTCCCGTTTCCTGGGTGGCCACCAATCAGTTGCCCATTCAGCCAAGCATTCCACCCAAAGCCGAGCCCACCAGACGTGGAGATGTACACGGAGGTCGAGTTTACCCCGTCAAAGTAGCCGCGGTAGATCTTGGCTCCGGGGTAAAAGCCATAGTCTGATGCGAATAAGACGGGGATGGATTCTGGCTTCGTAGGACTCAATGTTGAGTTCTTGTCGCAGACAATCCACCGCGAGTCATCGTAGTCTGGCTGAGCCTCGGGCAAGGAATCGGCAGATCGCCATCGTGTCAACGCCGGCAGAGAAATGCGTCTCGACTCGGCTCCGGGAATGCGGGCCGTGTAAGAACCGTAAGCGGTCCTCTCGGCCTTTATCGGTTTGCCGTTCCAGACAATAGACTCGATGGGTTTTCCGGTGTATGCCTCAAGTGTCGTAGCATTGTCATTGTCCCCGTTGACGATAAGGTGACCACCTGTAATAGATGCGTCTCTGACGAGGTACGGCCCGAGGACGAAGATCTGCTCATTGGGAGCCACCAACGGGTTGGACGTCGTTGCCGGCGCCCAGAGTCTCCATGCTGTCGGTTGATCTAGTAGGTATACTAATACGCCGTTGGAGAACTGAACAGCCGACGTCCCAGCAGCCTGGGTATATCTGAAGGAATTTTCCGTGGTGTTTGTGGTCGCTGAAAAAGAACTATCACCGAAGACTTTGTATGTCAGAGTTTGGTTGCTCTTCAGAGCAAACTCGCCGGTTTGGCCCTCTTTCAGGTACAGAACGAGTACGTCGACATCGAAGATGCCGTAGACTGCAATGTCCGCGGAGGCATAAAGCAACTCGTTGCCGCCAAACTTGTAATCCGTGACCAAGATCTTACTCTGCCTCCCGTAGAGCTCGACTGTCGGTACTGTGACCGTTCCAGCACTGGTCTCAAGGTCGACAGCGAAGGTGACATTGCTCCTGGACTTGGTGCTGGCTTGCTGGATGGTGGTAAAGGTTGCGCCCGAGTCCGGATTTCTTAGCACCCAACTGAACCCGGAAGATGAAGACAACTGATAACACATCGTCAGAAGGGATTCAACACAAAAAAACCTATGACATACCTTGTATCCAGTTCCGTTTCCAACCATCTCCGTCTGTAGCAAGTCCTTCGACACTCGAGTGAATAAACCAATCAATTTCGTCTGGAAGAGCTTGTCCCACTGCTGGCGAGTCTCCCGAAGTGGTGCACTGTAATCGTAGCTAGTGTAAACGACCGGTGCGGCGGCTGAACCCCTGGTTAGTAGTCGAAGGGAGAAGGAGCATCTACCAAGTACTCACAATGACCCCAGTTAGTACCACCCCATGCCATATAGACATTGTGAAGGGTGACGCGTTGCCCGATCTAAGACTTGTCAGCAGTACAATTCTGGTCATACCATAAATTACTTACGTTGTTCTTATAGTACACATCCGGGAAAGCAGGATCATGCTCCGTCGTACACTTGCGAACCAGTCAACATGAGCATCGGCCCGCGCGTTTCATCTGGAGCACCCACCTGATCGTAGAAACTCCCGCTGCCCCATGCCGAGAACCAGCCGCCTTCGAACTCGGGTAGGTACTCGGGCTGGGTATAGGAGTAGTTCTGGAACCACTGATAGTAGGTGCGGACAACATTGAAGCCGGCGTCGGGGTTCGTGCAAGACAGGCTGCCGGGGTAACTGTCCAAACCGTAGATATCGACGGCACCGCCGACGTTCTGGTAGTCCGTCGACCAGGACTGCGACCTCATGCCCTTCTCGTTGTGAGTGAACGGTACAACGACGCCGGCGTCTCGGAACGCTTTCTCGATCTGCTCCATGTGGAGCACCTCCGTAGCGTTCGGAGAGTGTGTATTCTCCTGATACTCATTCTCGATTTGGTTTAATATCACCGGCTACACAGGTGGTGAGCAGCTGACATGAGAGTTTGCAGACGAGGACTGGCATACTCCTCCTTGGGTAATTTGATTCGCCGCAATGATTTGGCCAATCTTCGTCACCCAAGGCAACCACGCCTGGTGATAGGTCTCATCAGCAGTTCGAAGCTTGCCCATGCTACCGTCAGACCCCCATAGTGCAAGACCGCCACCACTTGTCTCTGCCTAAGCCCTTTTCTTAGTATGATGCCGATGTAGCGGTACGCCCATACACTGACATTGCAATACGGCCCGGCTCTCGCGATGACCCAGAGACCTGCCTCTTTGGCGTAGTCGAACAGGCGTTGGACATTCTTGCCCGAAGTTTCGAAGTCGTATACGTCTGGAGACGGGCTGTGGTAAGACCAGAAGAAGTATACGCTAGACAAAGTTTAGTTCTATACCCAAACTTTACTTCGGCGCCAGTGGGGAGCGCATACCTGATCGTGTTGAATCCGTTCGCCTTGAACTTCTGAAAGATATCCTGGAGACAGAGAATGAGTCTTCAGGGCCAGTTGGCCATAGGAGCAAGCACACTCACGGGCCACAGCTCGGGCACGGGCATTCGTTGGTAGTGGAACTCGGCCGAACTGCAAGGAGCAATGCATCAACATCAAGAAAATAGCCAAATGTCGTGAAGATCAGGGTCCATTGGTACTAACTAGATATAAGTCCTCTCGCCATTGACGCTCAGACTATATTGATCCCATGTTACCGCGTCCGTCAGGTTGTTCGAAGTGGACGAGACTCCCCACACGAGCCCGAGGAGCGCCGCCGTGAGCGAATTGAGCAACCGCATGATTCTGTCGAGCAATAGCACCACGTTCAAAGCCCGCCTGTCCTAGGTTCTACTTGTCGTCGGTTTCTCAGGCTGGGCAGACATCGCTTATATAGGTTCTATAGAACCCCAATGAAAACCCATGACGGCATGTTGTATACAGATCCCATTGGAGAAGGCCATCTCCGCATATTCGTGGGTAGCGAACAAATTACAGCGAAGAACATATCACAAGAGGCACGGGGAATCACGAATAGAGACTGGACCACTGGCTTCTGGAATTTCCGGCAATCAGGACGCGAGCTTTTTTGGCACAGTCAACCGCGGATGCATTGTGCCTAATACTGGCTCGTGGATTAGATCATCGTAGGAAGGTCCCCCGCAGCAAGACTTTGGAGAATGCTTGCAACTGGTGCGGAAGACCACTGGAGAACCAAGGTCTCGAGTCGTGGGGCAAGCGGCCTGGAGGACGGAGCAGACTCCCAATGTTTGGACACTCGGGGATCTGGCGAGAATGATGGCCCGACAAGCCCTTTCGGCCGCGGCTCACGCAAGGGCTACCTGTTCGCCATCATGACGTGCAAGCCGACGAACTATTGTCTCGTGCGCCGACAAAGCTGGGTAGCTGTCGTTCATGCCTCTTTTTTTTTTTTTTCTTTTCCCCCAGCCCGCTTCTGGGCAACAGTAGACTATTGGGGTTTGTGGCACCGCTCGAATACCAAGCTTCGTGATGCGTTGCGGATTACCTGGAATTAGATTCTGCGATTGGGCGCGCTGGAGAAGCTGGATGCAGAAGCGGCAGAGGCGGGGTAGGATCTACAGCACGGCTTAAGTAGAGCGCAGGAAAGTGAGCCGCTGCCAGTCTTGAGCTGCTTTGGTTCCTGCAGCTTGGGTGCAGTAGGGGCAAAGGCCATCGACGGAGCGAATGGTAGTCTGAGACAACAGACGCGTACTATTGTTGCATTCGAGCGATACATAGTATTTCCGGAGGTTTAGTTAGTGAACGCGTTGTGATGGGGAAGCAAGCCACCCAAAGTTTATTCCGTGAACTACATCTGATCTCGGTCTAGAGCCAAAGTCAACGGCTCCAGGGATGATTTGCATATGCTATAGGCCGCCCAGAACTGACGTGACCAGCCGGAATGCACGAACCGAAAGATTAATTCGTCTCCGTATTGATTCATCTGATCACTCTGGACAACAGCCCGCTCTGCATTTGCAGATGCTGGAGACAGGGAACTATCGTGACCACATGTAATGCGAGGCGGACCAGAGATGCTCTAGATCTGCAAGTTTGGATAGCAACCGACGGGGCTGCGTTCATAGCAACATGTTGCGAAGAACCAAGACTCTAATCACTTTGGCAACGTGTCGCAAAGGCTCCATATGGTAAGGAGGTCCGTTCGTGGCCCAGCAGACGCAGCGGGACATGCGTTCATGCTCGAGGAGCTGGGCCGCTGGCAGCCTGCCTAGCTGAACTAGCTTGCTGGATGCTTGACGCTTTTATGTTCCATGAGGGTCTTGCAATTTACTGAGCACAGCAGCAGCCCAAGGGCATGGTGCAAATAGTCTGGTCTACCGTCGTATTCCCGTGCTGTCGGTTGGACTGACGTCGTACCGACCGGAATTGCAGCCCACAAGTGGAGCGAACTTGTATGGTAAACCACCATCGACCGGCAGTCATGACCGAACCGTTCTAGGCCTAAGTTAGGCCCCGAAGGTGCTGTACCGGTAGTAGAAGTTGGCTGACGTAGGAAATTTTATTAAATTTCCGGTGCCTTGCATCGCTATCGCTAATTTGCTGGAGATCGCTGCCGATTTGGTTACAGGTTTTTGTCTTGACAAGCTTGCGGATGAGATGGATACCAATCATTCCGCGGTCTGCTAAGACAGGCGGCCGAAGAGGCTGATGGCCGACAGCTGCAAGTGAGCCACTAGAGTCCTTTACTATCAGGAAGTTAGGGAGGTCAGTTGTCACGAGACAGCTCGGGACAGAAGTCAATAGTGAAAGGCGGTGCTACGCGATCGATGCGTTCCGACATGTGTTGCCGACGAGAAGGAGCCGAGAAGTAATCCTCCGAAAGGACCCTCATAGTATGGAAACGTACGATGGCTGCGTGAATAAAATTCTTCGCCGTGACTCGTAAGCAAGCAGGGAACCTCTGCGATTGTACGGATTTGGTGATTGGTTTCGACAGCTGCTGTCTCCAATCTCGCTTTCAACAGAAACTTTCCCCGGGAGCCGTGCCTTGCAGGATCTGCACGGAGAAGCTGGGCGAGCCTGCAAGGGCATGGGTGGCGCCCACTCAACCTGCGTGTGGACAAGACCTATTGAGCACAGGTGTTTCCTTATGTTTACAGCGCTATCATGCCAGGTTCAGGGACATACCCAGCTTGACAAGGCGAGATTGCAGTGAGGCGAGGAGGATTCCGGCACTAACAAGCACGCCAGTCAGCTGCAATTAGATGAGAGAAAGCTGTTGCCCCTAGGGCCTGCGGCCAATCAGGCGAGACCACGGACGTGCTACTGTTGCTCAAAAAAGCAGTCACCACGAACATTGTAGAAGGCGTAGCTGCGTGTTCTATGAACACCGTTGTCTCAAGCCCTGGACTAGGCAAAGGAGCGATGTGACGTGCTGGACGGATTCCTTTTCCGGCGAGCCCTTTCGAGTCCATCTTTGCCTATTCGAACCCTGAATCAGCTAACAGCCCTTTCTGACGCTCGCACAGAGGCCCAAGCTATCTGAGCACGAGGGCGAGGCTCCAGTTCGCTCTGTTGTCCGTCTGCGAGAGAGTAGTTGGCAGCTGAGAATAGAATAGTCTCATTTGCGCCGTGTTTCAAGCATCCCTTGTTGGAATGGGACGGCCCAGCACGGACCAGGCCCTAATGTCTAGGGCCTCCTCGTGGGAAGACAGGATGAGTACCGAGAGCCAGGCCCTGCCAGGCGCAACCTTGTTTCACCTTCGTCTTTCTTTTGGCCTCCGGTGGCCGCTAGGCACTGTAGGCGGGCTCGAGGTGGGCTCCTTTGGCTCATCTCCCGTGGGCCCCCCGATCATCCCGGCTGCTCGATCTTGATGAACCACAGTCCGCTTTCAGACAGAGGGGGCCTTGGGGGCCCTAGTTGCTCCCAGGGCCAACCCGGCAGGTATCAACAACGGTATGTTTGCCAACTAGCAGCAGGCAGTTCGAGACGGCGGAAGAAGCAACTTTGCGGGGGGAGATGCTGTGTGATGTTAATAGTTTGGATTGTTGCGTCTCTAAATCTGCTATGGAACATTGTCAAGGTGCAACGATGTGCCCCTGTGTACCCAGGTCGCTGGCATGATTATCGCCGGCATGTTGGCCCAGAATAGTCGGCAACGCTTGCTCCAATGCTGGCCGAGTCTTGCTTTGCTATGCGGAAGGGAATGCGAAGCGACGAAATCAAGGACAGCACAGCCCGTTGCAAAGGGCTTTGCACGGTTATCCTTGGTCGCCATGGCGGCTCCCCACAAGGACGTTGAGCACGCGTTCGTAGTGGCAGAGGTACTGTCTAGTTCCTAGTTCGAGGGGGGTTGTTGTAAACAAACTAGATGGAGACCAGGAGGCTCTGAGAGCGAAGTGTGGAACTGTGATGGATCCCTATATTAATGGATCGCATAAGCTGAAGGGAGGCCCGGGGGCTACGAAAATTTGCTGTCGCACGGCTACGCATTACTATGTATAATATGTAAGTGCCGTGCCCCCAGAAGCAGTTGATGCCTGTTGGAAAGGTTTCCTCTCAGCCATATTCGATTCTCTTGTGCTAGGCAGAGCTCGGCACTTCATTCGTGGGTTGACTGACCAATTCCGAAGAGGGCAGTCTATCATTCGCTTTCACAACCAAACCTTCTTTTCGGCCCCATTGGCCTCTTTTCCAACCCAACGCTCGCTAGGCTTGCCATTCATTGCCGGGGGGTTTATTATAACGCCGTGCCTTGGCCCAACGACTGCAGCTCATCCGACGGTACCGGGAAACTCAATTCGCAGCCCAGCGAATGCCGTTCTCGTACCCGGGCACAGCAATTCAGCTAGTTATCCCTGCTTCTTTGAGGCGAGGTGAAGAAAAGGACCTCTTGGAGATACTGTAGGACCCCGACAGCCACACGCATCCCATCATCCTGCCTGCTGCAGCAGCGCGACGCAAATCCGATCGAGCCTGGCCCACCCACACACACCATCGCCCAGCTCGCAACCTCATTGGCGTCCTCGCGGATTCCCTTCCGCTCCTCATCACCAACGGCCTGGACCGCGTACCCTCCCACACAGACGGACTGGAGGGGCTTCCTGCATGCGACCGGGGTCGTTCATGCACGCAACATTATCACAACGCGATCTGAACGCGTCTCGTCAGACATCCTCAAAAATAGGCTGAGTCCGCGGCACCGACGAACAAACAACGGGTCCGGCTTCCTCAATCCTCGCCTCATCCAAACCTGCGCCCTCATTTAGGCTTTCCCACTCTCGCTTTCCTCGCCCAACCCCAGACGGCCTATTATTGCGGCCTGGATTCATCATTCGTTTAGAGAATCTAGAAGTGCTCTATACTCGGTCGATCATATCCACTCGTTTACCCTATTCCTGGTTTCGGATCCAATTTTAAGTGGCCCGGTAATCAGACCCTCAGTCGCAGAACACTGCATCTCCCCGAACGGAAAAATTTATGTCTACCCATCTCGAAACGTCATATTTTTCATACAGCAGTTCGATTTGGACTTCCTTCGCCGATAGCATCCTTACTCATTCACATCAGAGACTCAACTATACGCCTGACACGGTGCATCACTATACCTTCTGGTCTAAGGTCCATTCTCAGGTCGATCTCACGGGTGATTCCGCCTAGCCTTTAGTTCAACTACACGCCAATCAAGGCCAGACTTACAGAGTCTCTCCAGGCTTATATCATTCCACCACGATATTCCACCTATCTTTTTCTTTCTGGACCCCCTTCCTGCGGCTTCGCCTGTTGGCGACTCCTATAGGAGGGCTCAGTGCCCAACATACCCTGAGCGTATTCTATCTGAGCAATCCCACTCAGGTGGTCAACTCGCGAATCCACACCAACTTACACCTTTCTCCTCTCGCATTATCTGCGTCTCGAAAACCCAACGCCAACTACAGGGATGGCGATGTCTTGGCTTCTCTTAGCCGTGCTCGGTGTAGCTGCCGTGCTAGCAACCATTGCAACGTTCGTCCTTGAGATAGCAAATGCCGTGACCTCGCGGACAACGACAACAACCGTGCAGACTGCGGCAGCCGTTGCCGCAGCGCTTGAGGGAGCAGTTCTGGGATTACTCGCGGTTTTCTTCATCATGTCGCTTCGACACTCAACGTATTACGGTCAGAACAAGCTGGGATCTGTTTGGTTCCCTGCCGGTCTGGTCGCGATCGTCCTCGCAACAGCAGCATCGATCGTGGTTCTGGTTGTCCTGGGTAAGGAAACGGAGAATGTACCGATTCTTGGTGGTGCGGAAATGTCGTACTTGGTTGGGGATGCCGTTACCGTTGGCATCGCCTTCACTCTGCAGATGGTCTTTGTCGTGGTCTATTTCATGGGAAGTCGTTTGGCTGGCGATGACCGGGCTCACTCGCTTCACACCGAAGGAGGTCGCTTCACCCCCCAGATGCGAGTGAAGTCCATTGCTTACTCCAAGACTCTTGCTGGTTCTTACGAACCCAAGGAGCGCCTGCCGGTCGACTACCAAAGCCCTCCGGGATCTAGCAGTGGCCGCTCCATGGCCGAGACTATGAGCTCTATCCGCAGTTCCCTGTCGCACAAGATCCGACCCGTCGACAGCAGGACTCGTCTGCTATCGGTTCGATCGACCCGGTCTGTCAGGTCTACCGGCTCCAGGACTGGCAGGCGTCCCCCTTCGTTTGACTCTTTGGCCCCTGCCGAACAAGGCTTCGACTCTTGGGATACGTCGGCGGTGGACCCCCAGAACCGCCAAGTCATCGACACGTCACTGCCGGCCGCCGGCGCCCCTCGATTCCTTGGTGGTCTGGAGACCATCCCAGCGAGCCCGACAGTCAGCAGGAGTCCTTCGCCAGGCTATGCGCTGGATCTGGAGCCGCCGCCGAAGCGCAACGTCCGCAGGAGTCGGAGTTACTCGCCAGTCCCCCGACCACCTCCTGCCATGACCCCGGATGGCTCGACGAGCGAGCTGAACATCCACCCGCTCTTCCGCACCGACAGCCCCACGCCGCCGCCGGCAGCCACCCCCGGGACGTCGATCATCGCCGCACCGGACGTGGCCCGCACGCGCACCGTCTCGGCCAAGTCCCTCAACCGCATGCGGAGCGGCAGCCTGCCGGCCTCGTCGAGCCCGCTGAGCGCCCACGGCAGCCTCGAGAGCCTGAAGAGCAGCAAGGCGCCCAGCCCGACCGGCGAGCGCCTGTCGCCCCTGGCCACGGAGCTCGTGGAGGAGAGGCAGATGACCCCGCCGCTGCCCGAGTGGATCCTCAACGCCGGCTGCCGCTCCAGCCTCGCCGAGTACCACTCGCGGAAGGCCCGGGACAGCAAGGCGGACAGCGGCCTGGACCTCGCGCAATAGCGGCGACGGAGTGGGCCGTCCGATGACGATTACGACCTGTTTCATGAATTTTTTTCTGTTTTGATATAGAGCTGCGTTGTGCCGCCCCGGGCAGGACATGCCATCGTGGCTGTCGGGCGTGTGCAGACGCCATTTTGATCACCCTTTCTGGGTCGACTCGGGAGGGGGACTTTGGAGACCAGGAGATACCACTTGCCTTTTACATCTTTTTTCCCTTTCCCTTGTGTCCACAAAGCGCGGCGTTTTGTTGTTGTAAGATGGCAGAGGAGGGTAGAACTACCACTGAGGACCGTCCCACCGAGGGACAATATTGGTCTTGCAGCTGTGGAGGAAGCCTTTTTCTTTCCGCCCCTTTCCCCCCTTTCGACTACGGCTGGGGGGAAGGGAGGCGCTCAGGGACTACGGTGTATTGTATTGTGTAGTACATAGTAGTAACAGCTAAAGAACCAAATCCAAAGAAGTAAAATGATAAAATCCAACTACACGGTCTTTTTCTATGTTGTAAATTTGACGGGAGACTTGTTTGTCTACTAGTAAGATATTATTGCTCCAGAGGGGCGCAGGCCACAAAGAACGTGAACAGCTTTTAGTCGTGTGAAACTTGCTATTCTGATATTGTGTGAAGATTTACTAGATGAGGTTGGGAAAGGCCTAGAAGACGGAAGTATACTTGTCTCGTGTTCGTGCCATGTTGTTGAGCCGTAGCCAGTCCAAGTATTCTTGATTACTGCCTGTGTTTAGTGAAGGGAGTTACCGTAACCGTACAGCATGAAACCAGAGACGAAACCTGCACAATGGTGAACCTGAAGGGTGATGGCAGTTTGGATTTCCTTGGATTGGCAACCTTAGCGACTCACGGTGGCCAGGCGCCCGAGGTCTCGGAAGTATCCATGTATGTCGAGGAAGCCACCAGAATGGGCAGACATCTAGATCTGTCTTGCTGGAATTAGGGTGAACCCCGAGGCACGTGGCAATTCTAGCAGATAAATGCTTACTTGGACACCTAGGCACAATGGAATACTCCAGAGTGATTTGTGGGAGGCTTTTTAATATCTAGTTCTCTCGATTTACTATTTCACGTTCTGGGCAGGTACCTGAGGTATTCACCACGAGACCTTTGGAACTTGGGAATATTCATCACGGACGAGGACGACATAACCTTGGAGACCGGGGGACCCACGGATTTGGGAGAGTGCCCCATTCTTTCCCGGGCCATCCCCACCTTTTTGGCCTTGCAACAGCTTTCTCGGCCGCCACAGGCACTGACTGGACTGGACTGGACGGGCTGGACTTGGGCACAGAAGGCAAAAGACGCCCCGCGACACATCATTGACGGCTACCTGGATTTCCATCCATCCACCCATCCATCCATCCGCTCCAGGCTGGGTCCGAGTCGACCTCTCCTTGCCTATTTTTTCCTCTTCATCTTCCCGTGCCACCATCCGCCCACATCCTACGCGATAACGCACGTCTCTCGGTCTCGAAGCGAGAAGCACCAAGCCGCCCATCCGCATTCTCACCCAAGCAGACCAGAGCTGCCCCAGTCGCCCAAGATGAAGGTCACCTTCAAGGTACGTGCTGGAGCTCCCCCCGGCCGGACTGGGCGCTGCTTGCCCGCCTCCTCGTCTCCCCGCCTCGCTGACCTGACTGCTGCCGTCTAGGATCTGAAGCAACAAAAGTTCACGCTCGATGTCGAGCCGAC